AACGTTGCCCAAGGGATGCCCAGATGCTTTTCCATCCTGTGGGGGGCTTTTTCTCATGTCCCCACTTGAGAAGCTGGAGGTGACAGACGGGAGCTCATTCCACTCCCTGGATTCGTACTGCCAACCTTTTGGTCAACAGTTCTGTCGGCCCAAGGGTTTAACCCATTGCACCATGGGGGGGGGGTCCTCCTTAAACAGAAAAACAATGGCTTGCTCATGGTTACCAGTGGGTTTCCATGGCTGAGCAAGGACTCAAAGCCTGGTCCCCCAGGGTCCTTGTCCCAACACTTAAAGCACTCTACTATGCAGATTCTTGCATTTGACTGATACTAGTGAAACAAACCTACAAAACAGAAAAACAACTCATATTCTGCTTAAAAGTTAATACTGCTGAATCATGAAGATATGCAAACTTTTACATTCACGTCAAGAGAATATTACCTAAGGAAGATTATGAAGACTTAAAAAAGTAAATACCCAAACAAACAATATGAAGAATAGTTTTTCCCTCCTCAAACTATTTGTACACTCTTGCTTGAAGTTCTAGGCCCATATTGTATGATTAATTGAATATCTTTGATTCCAACTTGGTGAAAATAGCTTTAGAATAATTTGAAACAGAACTGCAATGGCAAAAGAGGTTTTTTGCTACAATCCTCTCATCAAAACTGCAGGCTCCCAGTCACATTTTGGAGATTCACTGCATCCATTTTGTACATAATATCCACCTTTCCTCTATAGGGAAATATGTATAAAATGTCAGAATAGAAGCTTTAGTCACAAGTCATAATAATGTGGTTTGTAATATTCAGAAGGTTTGTGTCCTGGAACTTCTCCTTCACAACCATTGTCAATTTGACTCTAGTCTCCTGCTTTTCAATAAGGAGAAGGTACATTTAAATAATTATTACAATGTACCACAACTTGTAACTATACATTATTTGGATTAAATGTGGGTCTAGACTGATTAATATGCCATACACACAGATAAAGCAGCTGTAAAGTACAAGTACAAGAAACGAATTACTAACTATTCTTTTCATATCCCAGCCAATGTCAAACATAAACTTATAAGCCATTAACATACATCTCAGAATTGAGGGAATTGGTACAAGAAGAGTGAGAATGAATGAAGAGATATTCCATCATCACTGACCTCCAGAAGAAAGGAGCAAGGTTTACTGCATGTATTAATCCATTAAAACACCAATATGCTTAAATGGTTCTCAAAACTGAAACTTCCGTGCAAACAGAGCTCATCAGGCACCCTGTTAAATCTATCTCACATTGACCTACGTTAAAGTAAAAGCAGAGAGCAACTCAAAGGTGCCAAAGCAAACCCCAAGAACAAGCTCCAAGATGAAATTAAAAGGAGCCAGAAAGGGGTTACATTTTAGAAGAAATTATATGCCATTTCACTTCTCTGATGCTAAACTAATTGCTATATAGTTTCCTTAAAACTCAATGTTTAAATTTCTAAGGAAATAAGTGAAATAACTCTCTTCAAAGCTGTGCTGAAACAAGGACTTCCTTCCAGTGACAAAACATTCAGTAGGAAAAATCTAATTTACATGTAGCTTGCTCCTAGCTTGTATTTTCCTCATCTATAGGCTTTTGAAATAGTTTAAATAGAGCCTACATTTTGTAATATTTTAATTGCTAAATCATACCACATAGTAGAAATCCTGCTTTAAAAAAAGAAAAGAATCCCACTAGCTGTTCATTCAATGTTCTCTCCTATTAATTGGTTTATTTAAATTATTCTGGCAATGCAGATCTCCAATTTACATTATGCAGTTATGTTCTTTGTGCAGATACCTAAAATCACAGGAGGCAGAATATTTTACTTACAGAAAAACACATACCATGAATTCAAGCATCAAATCGTCATCCCACACTACATTTTAAATAATTTTTCTTGTAGAGTTTTGGCTACTGAACACAATAATATACTAAATTGAGAATGAATGAAAACATGTACAGATGTGTTCAGGGGGTATGCCCTAATAATATGCAACCTTCTTTTTTAAATTTAGTGACAATCCTACTGCTATCAATATGCATCACACTGAATAGATTAATTGAATTTGATTTCACTTACAGACCAGGACAAAATAGAGTACAACACAAATAATATGTGAAAGAGAATTACTTAAGGGTTTGCTGTAAGCAAAGGCAGTGATGTTGAAAGACACTGTGTAAAATAAAATGTCTATCCATACAAATCCAGGAAATTTTTTGCTATAAACCATTAGAAGAAGAAAGGAAATGGAAGGAATCAATTCAACAGGCCTTATTCTCTACTAACCTGAAAACTATTTGAACAATCAAGATGATTTAGAAAGGTCTGACTAAAAAAAAAAAAGATGCAGCTTTTAAAACTGTGTAATTTGCTTGTTTGTTTGTTGAAAGTGGAAGCAGAAGAGAGGACTATTCCCGATATTTTTCTACCTAGAAATTGTGGCTTGCAAAGGGAGAATTCTCTATATGTGAATTAGTGCTGCCATCTAAAGTCAGTGAAAGGATATGCAGGTTGTTTAATTTCACATAACAACGTAATACCATAATACCATCTCAATGATTTTCGACATTTTTCTTTATCATCTATCAGGGCTAATACACCTCTGAAAGACATCACTTATCTTTGAAATGCCTTCATTCAATGTATGCTAGGGGAAGGGCATGAGCAAAATAACCTGTCTGTAGGGCAACATTTAAACAAAAAGCCAATATAGCAGGATGCCTAAGGTTAGGCAAAGAAACATTCAAATGTCTTATTAATGTAATTTTAAATGAACTGTTTTAAATATATGTAGTTGGCAAGCCACACTGAGCCCCACCCACCGCCTCACCCGGGGGGGGGGGGGAGTGAGAAGGACAGGGTACAAATACGTGAAATAAATAAATAAATAAACCCACAAAGCAGTAGTGGGCACTAATAGTAATATTCATAATAATAATAATAACTTTATTTATATCCCACCACCATCTCCCAGAAGGAGATGTTCTTATGGCACTGTTATGTGCTATTCTATAAGCTGACTCAGGGCGGCTTATAGAACAGCACATAAGAGCGCCATAAGAACACATAAAATACAAGTAAAATACATCAACATTTATAACAATAACAATATCAATTTACATAAAACAACACTTACAAAAGATAAAAAGCCCAACTCAATTTGAATAAAATACTCAATAAAACGCAGCAATACCTACAAATTAAAATGGGCAGTACAACTGTGTTGAACATCCCAGCCACAGTTGGGCCAATTCCAAATCAGAACCCTCCTGTTCATATGGTCACCTTGCATTCCAAATGATTACTCCCTCCTTTCTCTCCTTCCCAATGCCCCTCAGCAGCCTTGAATCAGCAGTGGCATCCAATGACAACCAGGAACTCTTGAGAACTCCATGGACACAGTAGACACTGTAACAATTAAGAGAAGGCCCACTAGAGGGTCAGGATTTCACCCCACTGCCACCATGGGATAGAGCAGTGGTTGCCAACCTGTGGATCCCCGGGTGTCCTGGTCCACAACTCCCACTAACTCCCTTCATGATGAGTTGGAGAACCTGCTTTGGATATTAAATCAATCCAAGATGATGAACCATGGCCCCAAAATAGGTTTTGCACCTTGGATAGCCGCTCCAAAGTCTGGATTAAACTCTGGGGTGGATTAGCTACCCACTGATATGAAAACACAGATTCTTCCTTAATTTCTCAGAAGACACCCACTGATTCTCCTCCCGCTTCCCCCAGCCTGTCTTCTTGCAGTTTACCACCTCGCTCTTCATAGCCAACTTTCAAATCTGCCCTCATCTGTTTGAGAAATTCCTTTCCTCTCCAGGTTACAACTTCTGTAAGAATACTCTGGAAATAGGCGTCACTGAATTCAGTAGATCTCCACGGGACTGAGATATAAAGTTGGTTTAGCTATTCTAAAGAAGTTCAGCATTTGGAAAAGTCTCTGAGGGCCCTTCCATACAGCCCTATATCCCAGAATATCAAGGCAGGAAATCCCACATTATCTGACTGTGGACTCAGATAACCAAATTCAAAGCAGATATTGTGGGGTTTTCCACCCTGGTATTCTGGGATATAGGGCTGTGTGGAAGGGTCCTAAATCAAATTCTGCAGAGTAATAATCCATCTCTTGTCAACAGGTTTTGGGAGTGGATGGGGAGAAATCCCTTTTGATAGTATGATGAACTACAAAAATGTAGTTACATTAGTAAGACCCCTCATGTTCTGTAGGACTTCTCCCAAGTGAATGGACTACAGAATTCCACAATGGGTCAGACAATGTAAAAGGCCACTAGAACACATTTGTCATCACCACTAATCTATTTTTACATTCATGTAATCTATTTATATCTTAGAGCTAACAGATCTTTCTTATTATTCCCATTTAAGTTGTTTAGCAGACACTAACCTTTCTACCCTCACAACAATTCTGCAAGGTAGGTTAATAATTATTTCCAGTACAAAAAAGTTGTCCAATTGTTACCATGGTAAAGTAACAGAATATTCTACAACTCACATTTAATTCTGTGATTAGGTCAAAGGGTACAAAAATTAAGCAAACTTTTGAGATCTTCAAACTACTACATTAGGTAGTCTAGGAGAGAAAGCTCTGTACTTTTTAAAGAGGGTATATTCATTTTTGAAAGCACTGAGGTGAATCCAAGCACAAGACAAGACTCCACTGATAGAGAATAAACAGGCATGCTAGCTTGACATTACAAAATCACTGATGTGTTTGCTCATATCAAAATAAGAAGAAAACATTTCTTAATTGAGTTGAAAAAAGTTCATAACTGATCAGAGAATAAGTAGTTGGATAATGACACATATACATAACTATTTCTATATTTACATCTATATATCCATATTGGAAACTCTGCCAATCTGATTTTCTACAAGGGCTCACAAGACACACCCTGCCTAAGAAACTCATAAGAAATTGAACAAAATATACCCAACATGCCAATTGTACCTGTAGGAGCAACTCTTTTTCCACCACTTCTTCTGTCTTGCTTATAAGCCGTTTCTGTAGTGCATGTATCTTCTGTATCAGTTCATAGGTACTTGGATCACTGGCCTGCATGAAAGAAATATTTTTTTTTCTAATTGCCATCTCTGCATTTTACAATATGTACCTAACTGAATACAGCTGAAAGCAGTATTTTTCCATAACAAAGAGGACCAACCATCTTACAGAATTATCTCAGTGAAGCTACTGACTTAAAAATGACAAAAGAATGTAAAAGTGAAAACCAATATTGTTATAATATTTCTGACACTTAAAGTGTTGCTCTATGAGGGAAATGAGGGAGATGTCCCATTATTTGTTCTGAACATGTTTCAGTATCAAAGAAACTGTCACAAATTATTGCATATGGGTTTTGCTACATATGGACTACCTTTGCCAAAAACCATCTAATGAGCTAGAATACAAAAATATCATTTTCTTTTATCATATTTACAATGCTGTCCTAACTACTCCAGAGGTAACACTCACCGAGTTCCATGTAACTATCTCCCCAGTAAAAGCACTGCAACATTTTCAGATACTAGCAGAATTCCCATTGTCTTAACATATGGGGCAGTCTGGGGGAAAAAACCTTCTGTCGGAGCTCCCCAGATGTTTTGGCCTTCAACTCCCAGAAATCCTAACTGGTTGGGATTTCTGGAAGTTGTAGGCCAAAACAACTGGGGACCCAAAGGTTGAGAACCAATGATCTAGGGGCAGATAGCAAGCATTCATTTCCAAGAGACCCAAATGTTCAAGTCTGGGGATAGGTATTGCTTCAACTATGTCTACAGTGTTGCATTTCTATTTCAGACTGAAACAATTTATACAGAGTTTGCATAATGTCAGTGGTCACCCATAAGAAAAAAATGTGTATTTTGTGCAATGGACCCATTGACAATTCTACTTTTTGTTCACACTGAATATAAGAGAAGATTGAACGCCAAAATTAATTTAATTTAGGAATTGGATTTCAACATATGTGATTTAGATATATTGCTTACCATGTTTCATGCACTCAAGGCAATCATGCAAATTATTTATTCTATACAAACAGTTGCTAAGCATTTTAATCTAATCCTCTTGGCTCTAGATTTTCCCCCAAAACAATGTTATAATATAATTTACTGTCCTACAGTCAATCTGCTTCCAAACAGGAAAACCCAAAATACTTTGTCGCTTAAAATGAAGCTTCAAAATATCAGAATTGGCAGCCAAAACATTCAGTTGGACTTCTTTGTGAAGTTGAACAATACCACTTTTGGCACTGCGTGAAGGAGAAGGCTATATGCAAACAGAAATCTAAACTGGCATGAAAATGCTTATAAGTGCCATGTTTGCTCATACATTTGGCCCATACTTAATGGATTTTTATGTATTTAGATTTCAGCATGACAGCTAAAGAAATCTATGTGCTTACATGACAAAATAAACAATGCTATTTTAGAGTTCTCTCGTATCCCTCCACCTAAAAGTAAGTAAGCCAACCTGTTTAATGAACTATTCTTTTCCATTTTCTGTATCCTCTCTAACCTAGCCAACATTTCACATTAAACAACAGAAAGGTTATTCCTTTTCAAAGGTGGGATGCCCTTTAAACTGTTAAATACTCCATCCCTTTACCCTAGTTAATGAGCTATTACTCTTTTAATCTTCAGACTATTTTATTCTCCTGGTTTTGATCAGTTCTCATTTTATAATGATTTCTCATTGTATATTATGGATGCAACAAAAAAATAACCTCAAATGCTTTGTGCATATAAAACCTGTCTGTCATTAATCACCACAAAATACGGTATGTAAATTTTAGCCTTTCTGCTCTTTTGATGTCAATCTGCATGACATTAAAAGTAAATATGCATTGTGCAGCACTACTTATTTGTAAATCTCAGCTTTACGGGATGTGACATGGTACCTCTAATTTCCTCCATCTGTGAACATTCATTGGGTTCTCTAGTTCTTCCTCCAATGCTCTACAACGAGTGCGTTCCTTCAGCAGTTCTTTTTGCATATGATAAACTTCCTGCCTTCAAAAAGAGAGCCACACAAACATCATGACTTCTGCAATCAAGTCAATTGTGCAATCACGTCATTGTGAGGCAATGCTGTTTTCAGAAATCCCGTTTGCCAAAAGCAATGCTACATCTTCCCATTAATTCAAGGCAGTTATAAAGATATATTTATATTATTCAAAGTATGAAAGGCCTTTTCATTTATGTGATTGGAAACTGGAATTTTGGGCCAGAAGTGAACATACAGTTAAAAATTACTCAAGCCCACTGAAGTCAATGGACTTAAGCATGCCTAAAGCAGTGTTATATTTAGAATATGGATTATACCCATAACATATTGCAAAAGAATAATAATAATGCACTTTATTTATATTCCGCTCTATTTCCCCAAGGAGGCTCAGAGTGGATTACAGTATACACATATATAGGCAAACAATCAATGCCTTCTTTAAAGTGAATAATGACATCTCCGGTGTCTGGAGGCAATGTTCAACTCTGGCCATGGGGAGGGGCTCTTGTTCCATTTTTCCATGCCGAGGAACCTAATGTCCATAGACCTTCCTGGTCGTGTTTTGCCGGCATGGCTGCATGGGTGCCTTTTACCTTCTTGCCAAAGTGGTACCTATTAATCTACTCACATTACATGTTTTTGAACTACTAGGTTGGAGGGAACTCACCCTAATCCGCGGCTTCCAACTGCTGACCATTCGGTCTGCAAGTTTTTCTGCAGCGAGCAGTTTAACCTGCTGTGATACTGCATGTTCAGAAGATATTACCTAAAATATTACCACTTAAGTGGTCAATGAGGGCAAAATATCAATTAAACTATCCACATTTGATATTTAGCATATAATATACTTTATAAAAAGACAATTTCTATGGAACAAGAGATATCTATAAAAGATTTTAATGTATACCTAAAATTGAAATGCAATCTCTCCACATAAAATAATATGTGTTTTCTCACATGTAAATAAATAAACATGTTAACATACAATACAGAAGAAAGTTCAATCTGGCAATGATTTCATAGAGGGAAGCAACACCAGCACACTAAATAATTATTAGAAGCAGTCACTCTAGAGAGTTGTATTAAACATTATATTATCTTCAAAAATTGGTATCAATTTAAATTTTAGTTTCCTTTCCTGGTATTATAAAACCCTATAATTAAAGTATTGCTTTGCAGAAAAGACAAAAAATCAATTTCTGATGTGTGAAGTCATCCTTAGCTGGTAAAATAAAAGAACTAACAGAAGTACTAGTTAAAGCTACTTAGCACTGCAAATGGGAAAACATGACTCTTTTGGCAATTCTAGCAATGGTTTGGGAGTTCATTAAAAACATTGACTTGCTTGTGCCATTAACATAAACTAATCTTGCCACAGTGGCATATACTGCATTTCCATATGGTAATCACACATCGTGCCTCACAAGCTTAAACTGCACACCTAAACTTTCCATTAATTAAAGACAATGAGCATATGCCACATCACTTATGCACCATGAGAGGCCACCTCCACATAGAATCATAGGACACTAGAGTTTGAGTGAATTAGAAATCATCTCATCCAATGTCTGCACTGGGACACAACCAGATTATAGACCGCAGACAATGTGGCACAGAACAAAGTCTCTCTTTCATCCCCAATACCGTTATCAGTCCTTCAAGCCAACCAAAGATTTGCTCTCTAATTTAAGTAGTCAAACATCCACAGCCAGATGTCTATCTTTGCTTTAATAAAAGAGCACATAAAAATTGTTTCATTATCGCTATAGTCAACTGCCAAATATTAATTTGAATTTAGACACAGAATATCTTACAGTGACATCTTATGGACCTTTCCTATGGAACAAATTCCACTAAATTCAACACAGTTTTGCAAGCTCTTTAGCTACTCAAATAGGTCCAATAAAACTGTGCTTTAACTATATTACCATTCTTATTTTTTAAGGATCAGACCTTAGAAAAGTTACTTTTTTGCCACAACTCTCACAATCCCCCAGTCAACCTGATTAGCTACTGAAGCAAAGAAAGAACCTCTTTTACCAAACTAGCAGCAAACCTCAAGTGTGGTCCTTTTCCCCCAAGTCTAGTTTTGTACAAGCCCACAGCAACCGTGTAACTATATTTTTCCAAAACAACAAAATATGTCTCACACATAGTTAAGTATTTTTCTTTTCTCTTTTAAAAGTACCAACCCAAAGAGAAGGAATATAAATCCAGCAAGGCCATGAAATTGTGCTCTGAGGTAAATACAATTTCCAGTGGAAATTTAAGCAAATCTTTCTACTCGATCTGCCACCTGATAAATCTGAAGGATAAAAAACTGAGAACATATAATGGGTTGTTATAAATATGTCAGATGTTCTGTTTCTGCAATGAATTGCCTAATAAAAACCGCTCCATTAATGTAGGTGCTGCGAATCACTAGGTAGTTCACTGAACTGTGAACACCTTTCCCACAGCTGTCTATCAAGTATATGTTGCTAGTAACTCAAACAACAAGGTGAGATATGAAACTGTGGTAGTTTGATACCAGCTGCTTTTTCCTTAAAAGAGTACTCTTTTTCCTCACTGCTATTTAAGTTTAGTATGTGTATGAGGTCAGCTGAATAAAATCCTTCTCTGAAATAATTTGCATGTCAACACAATTATGTGTCATGCATGAAAACAAGTGCTCCCTGGGGTCTCAAAAGCAGTGTCGTGGCCACAGCCCTAAGCAAATGTGATTCACTAATGTCTTTCTACCTGAGTTCCTCCACATTAGCCACGCTCTTGCTAAGTATTGCCTTCTCCCGACGAAGTTTTTTGATCTCCAACTTGAGCAGTCGGATGTCTTCAACTCTTTGCCGGTACTGCATTTCTCCCTTATTCAGAATTGATTGCTGGATTTTGATCTTCTCATATAGAAGAGCCAATTCATCATTGCGGCGAACCAGCTGGCTCCCCAGGATGTCTCTTTCACTAATAACCTGGAAATGAAGCAGACCAAGTCAAGACTCCACAGATGGGCTGAAAGTATAACTGTCAGAAAGCACAGGGGAGAAGAAACTTCATCAGTACAAAGTATGGCATCAATAAGGTTACGTATCATCAATATATAAAACATTATTGGTGAGGGGTTTCAGCTGCTTGGACAGAGTGCCAGATTTTTCACTAAAATAACTGGCATCTTTTTTTTTACAATACATACTTTTAATGGTTTTTGTCAAGTATTCCAGCTATATTTTATTAGACACTACTGCCCACCTGGTCCAGTTCTTTCTTTTGCTTCATTCTCTCTGCATCTGCTTCAGAAATGATTTTCAAGAGTTTTCTTTCTTCCTCCTCTTGTTTTTCAATAAAATGTTTAGTCTCCAGAGCTTGTTGCCTCATTTTAAGCAGTTCGGTCTGAAAGAAATACAGCAAAAGAGGGAAAGAAATAGGCTTTATTAACACTTTTTCCACTTCATAAACCTGAAGAATTTAGAATGATTAAGATTTGGAAATAAGCATACATTATTCTTTAGTGTCTCATATTTTGTTCAATTTAACTGGTTTTCAGAAGCAGATTAGAAATACTACACAAATATACACTAAAATAAGACTATACACAGTGTGCCGAACATCATGCATTGATGTTTGGGATTAATTGCTATCGAGTCAACTTTGACTTAGGGAGAACCAATGGAGGAGAGATCTTCAATTCGCCCTATCATCAACAGTCCTGCTTAAGTCTTGCATATTCAGGGATGTGGCTTCCTTGGTTGAGTCTGAAATGGGGTCTTTTCTACTGCTTTCTATTTTACCAAGCCCCATTGCCTATTCTGTGAGTCATTTTTCTTATGAGTTGATTTTCTTTACATCAGCTTTCTTCATCATCTGATTTTCACAACCACACATAGAAATTGGAAAGACAGTGACATGACTATCCAAACTTTGCTATTCAGTTATCTTGACATTTCAACTAGATCTTGTCTAGTTCCTTCACACGTGCACTTCCAAGTTCTAGTTTTCTGTTGTCTCCATTCTGATAGTGATTGAGCCAAAAAAAATGGGGGAGGGGTCAATTATTTTCGTGACTCCATCATCTACTTTAAAGTTATACCAGTGAGAAATGTCCCTGTGATGGTAGCTCAGTTTATAATACCCAAGCATTTGTTAAGCTACGGGGGGGGGGGGGGGAAGTATTCAGATTTATGAAAACTGGATTGAAATGACGACAATAAAAGATATCATTTGCAGCCATTTATATAAATATTACTCGACTAAATTGACTGAAATTTGCTGCTGGACAAGTATACAGATGATATGGCTGTATGATCTGTATGAAACAGAGCTGGTGAAGACAATAAAAAACATTGCTATCCACATAACAGCATCACCTGTGCAGAGGATACATAGGACATTTTTTGAGACAAACCCTACAAAAAAGGCAGCAATTCAAGTCACCTTAATGCATGCTAACTTTTTTCAAGAAGTACTTAGATCAGTGGTTCCCCACATATTTTGGCCTTCAATTCCCAGAAATCCTAACGGCTGGTAAACTGGATGGGATTTCTGGGAGTTGTAGGCCAAAAACCTGGGGACCCACAGGTTGAGAACCACTGACTTTGAACATGGAAACTCAAGGCATGGGTCACCAATAAAAGCAGGAGGGAGCAACTGTGGAATGCTGGGAGCAAGGGCATGTTAACCCATAAGGAGATCTTGAGGAGTTGCACTCCCAATGCACCTGCTTTCATACACACAAAAATCAAAAGATGTTCTTATATGCTCTTCAAGGGACACAGGGTCATTTTACCATGTTTTGGGGACTTCCCAGGTGCTCAGAGGGTATTTTGTGATGAGAATGATGGATTCAGCAAGGGAGAAGACACACAGTCACTCTCTGTCCTTAACTTGCAAACCTTTGATGGTGGTGGGACTAGGAGTAAACCCTTCCCTGCAGATCTTAAAACTCTGGCAGGTTCATATCATATTCATTATGTGAGGGAGTCCTTCAAACAACTTTGGCTGCACTATAGTTTGAAATCTCTTTGGCTTTGTTTACTGATCTGCTGCTTGGTTTTTCATGGATAAGCATCCACACTGATGACTATTCTAAGCATACGACTCTTTAACATCCATGGCTCAGTGCCATGGAATCATAGGAGTGGGACTTTTACAAGATCTTTAACTTTCTCTGCCAAAGAGTATTGGTGCCCTGCCAAACTACAACTTACAAGATTCCATATAATTGAACCAGGACAGTGGTGTTAAACTCCATTAATTCAACAGTGTAGATGGACCCTTAGGCACTATTTCAGTGGTGATAGATAACTATTATTTTCAAATATCAACTCAGGCCATTACAGGAGCAAAATAAACTCTTTGTCATGTTCTTATAATATCAACAACTTCTTTGAAAAAACAGGCAAATATAAAAGCTCTTTCTGCTAATGCCCTTCAAAGGCAGGGACAAATTCTTTTTAAAAGAAGGCCTCTGTTGAAACATAATGTTTTCCCAGGACACAGTATTCCTCGATGTCAAAGACATTTGATCTTGCTCTGGTACAATAGATTTTGAAAAGGACTTGATATCAATAAGCAGGTATGTCTGCTTTCTCTCTTCAGATGTAGTGTTTTATCATACTAATAAAAAATGTTCTACTACTAGTTTTTAAAACAAAATGTTTATTTTCCTGTATGTACAATATTTGTATCTTAGCTACTTAATTTTTGAGGCTGATCCAATGTCATGAAATGAACAACAATCAGTGTTGCCTGGTACTAGCATGTACTCAACATTGTGTTAAAGTAACTAAGTGTAAAATGTGTTCATCAGTTCAGCACTGCAGAATCATTTATTATATCAAAATGTAGTCACAGTACAAGCACACGGCAAACACAATGTAGCTTTTAGATTTTGGTTGAATCCACTAATGGAAACAATTTCTCTGGAAATTTAAGCTGCTTCTCAATATAAAATGTCCAGGTTTGCATAACATATTTTTTTAAAGGACACTGGATTATTAAAATATTTTGAGAAAACCTGTGACTCTATTCAGAAGATTTCACATCACTTTATGTCCCTGTGATAATCGGATTTTGAAAAAATCTGGTTTCTCATGGAAATAAGGACTGGTGACAAAGCTTCAGTGGAGACACCTTTTTCCCATGGTTACTCTTTTAGGAGTGAATTTCCCTTCCTATGGACAAATTTCTCTCACACGTTTGTAACTATGAATCATTTGTAAGTCAGATGTTTGTAACTCAAGGATTGCCTGTATACTCATGCACAAGTCAAGGGCTTGTTTGGTGGCCTAAACTATTAATTTTGATATGACCTGTGAATAAGGTCAAGGTAATTCCATGGAGAGGGGAAAGCAGTCTCAGAAGTTCAGGCACCAATTTTGTGCCCAGACACGCAAAAAGACCAGAAGTGGCATTGTGGCGGAGAGAGTAGAGTGGGTAGTTTTTCTTTCAGCTTCTCTCGTGACAGGTTATGCTTTCATCCTTTGCAACTCTACACAGAAAAGATAATGGTTCTTTTTTGAATAAGAGTTATTTACAGTATTATTGACCTGTGGATAAATTAATCCATGTTGTTTGCAGACTTTTTAAATTTATACATGAATATATAAGTAGTTCTTCAACCAAGTGTGGTAAAGATGTCAATGAGCCTTGTGTAGAGGGCCTAACTAAGGTAGTGATGGGGAAATGCATTTCTGGTGTTCAGGATGCTCACGATTATGGGGGGTATGAATTATTATTGGAAAGCCAGCATGTTGGTTATACATAGCCACACAGTGAGAGAAAAAGAGATCAATTTGGGTTTTGGAAAAGAGAAGAAGTGTTTCTACCCTCAAGTAATGCCTGTTCAAAGTAGTAGGACTTATTTCCAGGCTAAGTAGGAATCAGCTTCTAATCTTCCCTACTCAGAAGTAAAGTACATGGAGTCTTGCTGCAACTAACAATGCAATTCTAAGTAGGTCTACACAGAGATAGGTCTTTAGTTCCACACACTTATTCCTCTAAGTCTGCCGAATTCTCAGTGTAGACCTGTGGCCTTAAAATGGGACTGATTTCTCTAGCCAAATGTGGACAAGACTGCAATCCTCCCTGTGTGCAGACAGGTCACTCCAGACTAGTGTGTTTGAAGAATAAAAAAATACAGCAACCCAATAAAAATTAATTGTAAAACAACATCTTGCTTGTTGTGAATTCTCAAAGGGATTACTGATTAAGCTTTAAACCAAAAGGATTTTGTTGTTGTTTATATAGAAGCAGAACGAATGGCACCCTTGTTGTTAAATGCTTGATCGAATACTCTATCTGAATGGCTGAGGAACTGTTTAAGCAAAAAAAAAAAAAAGTCCTGCACACTGAATTTTCCACTAAAGTGCCTGCCCCATTATTTCACTTGCAAATGAAATATTCTTACAACTGATGGCTGCAAGTGGCAATTTCAGAGGTCAAAACCCAAAAATACCATGTGCTTTGCAAAAAGCAACAACTTTTTATCACATCCCTAATGGGAAACCACATATATTTTTGCCACTATATAATGGAGCAGGTAAAAGAACATAGCAATGATTCTGCTGACAAGTTTACATTACAGACTAGTTACAGCAGGTTTTGCAAGAGAAGTGAGGTTCTGAATCCCTTCTCCATAGCTGATATAACAACTCTGATACACATCAAGAACCAAAATTCACCACCTTTTTACAGAGATCTATTGACATCTTGTCATAACGTTAATGTGCTGACAATGGCTAGAAACCTACAGAGTCACTGAAGAATAGTACAAAATTGACAAAAGAAAAGCAAAGCAAAAAGAGTCGAAGAGGAGACACCTCCCTCAAGTGAAAATAATAATGAGCTGCTATGGATGCTGTTTCTTTCAGTTTTTGCAGGAGAAAATAAGACTGAATTCAGAAAAGCTACATATTATGGAGCCAGTCTGGATGACATTCAGTGCCTTTAAATAAAAGAAATACCAAAAGTAATTTCCTGCTTCTCTTTTGACTTAACATAGATGAATGGCTTTCTGAGCACAAAAAAAACCCTCTCCCTTTTTACTATATGTGTTTTGTCTTTATTTATAAAAAGGCAACTACAATCAGAAGTGTTGCGCAGCATTTTCAAGGTTAATACTCTGTCTAGAATTTTCTAGGTCCTTCAGTGTGACTTTACGATTAAACACCTCCATGCTGGAAAATGGAGACTTCAAGACAGAACACCTCTATGTATCTCTAGGTCCTCAATTGTAATTCCTTGTTCATCTTCCAGCGGACATTTACCATAGAGCCATGCTGGAAAACCTAGACATCCATGGAGAAGAGTTATCTCAAGTAAACATATATCAATGTATTCATTTGTGATTTTCACTTTTCAGGGGATCTGATGCCACCAATCCCAGTGAATGTGGAGAGCTAGTCATCAAAACCAATCATATTTTTTTCAGATCATGAATATATGTATGATGAGGAACTTCCCTTATTTGTAATTTCAGACTCATAGATCTCTCATCTTCATCCTTCCTGCTTTCTCATCTAATGCCAAAAAATAGCACCACTCTCTGAGTGGCATCCCGGAGGTGTAGACTTAAGGCTTACTTATGCCTGGCAACTCCTGTGGCTGCGTCTCATTCTGCAGACCTCTCAGTCTTCAATACTAACTGTCTCAGTCTGTTTCCTCCTGCTCAGCTCTCTGATCTTTGAGTGCAGTCACTCTGCAGAATTCCTAGCATACCATCTGATGCCTAACACAATGTTCCCATTTAATGGTAGGAAAATTTTCTCTGCCTCAAAAAAGTATGACTGGTTTTATAGGTGTCTACTTGCCTCAAAGGCTTTCTCTGTAAGTGGCTCCTTTCACCAATTGTTTCTTTGTTTGCCTGTCTGCCTAGCTATTTGTTCATTTGGTGGTAGTAGTAATCATCATCATATTTTAATTTGTTACCCACCTCTCCACAAAGCTCAAAACACAACACAATTAAAATACATAGATAAAATACTATCTGGGTCAGGGGTCCTCAAACTTTTTAAACAGAGGGCCAGGTCATAGTCCCTCAAACTGTTGTAGGACCAGATTATAATTTGAAAAAAAATATGAATGAATTCCTATGCACATATCTTATTTGTAGTGCAAAAAAAAAAAACACTTGAAAACAATACAATAATTAAAATGAAGAACAATTTTAACAAATATAAACTTATTAGTATTTCAATGGGAAGTGTGGGCCTGCTTTTGGCTGATGAGATAGGATAGTTGTTGTTGTGTGCTTTCAAGTCGTTTCAGATTTAGGTTGACCCTGAGCAAGGGTCGGGTATATGACCTTGAAGGGCCGTATCTGGCCCCTGGGCCTTAGTTTGAGGACCCCTGATCTGGGTAATAGTTGCCAACCAAGTTCCAGCTGGTTCAAGTAAATGTCCCCCAGAAAACTTAAATATATGGGGTGAATTATATAAGGCAATTCTGTAGGTAACCTGGACCCAAACTATGCAGATGAAGTACTTTGGCCACATAATGAGAAGACAGGAAAGCTTGGAAAAGACAATTATGCAGGGGAAAATGGAAGGAAAAAGGAAGAGTGGCTGATAAAAGGCAAGATTGGTGGATAGTATCCTTGAAGTGACTGGCTTGACCTTGAATGAGCTGGGGGTGGCGACAGCCGACAGGAAACTCTGGTGTGGACTGGTCCATGAGGTCATGAAGATTCGGAAGTAACTGAATGAATAAACAACAACAACAAACCTAATAACACTTTGTACTTTGCCTGGAAACTAATTGCCAGCCAGTGGAATGACTTCAGTATAGGTGTTATATGCTCATTTCTAGACGTACCTGTAACCAATCTGGCTACCACATTTTTAATTAACTGGACTTTCCCAGTTTGATACAAAGGTAGCCAAATGTGCAGTGTGTCACAGAATTCTGGCCTTCAGAATATCAGCATGTGCACTACTATGTCTTCCAATTCTAGAAAGGAGTGCAGCTGGCACACCAGACAAAACTGATAATGTAGGCATCCTGCTAATTACTCTTTTGCCACATGAATTAAGGACTTCTGCTTGCCATCAGTGAGGCTGTGGCATCTTGGAAGGATGATGCTTAGCACTAGCGACCACCTGCCTCCGTCTCTGTGATGCCTGCTTCTTCCATTGTCTAAATTCTGTCTACCAACCACAACATTGTGAATTTTTCTGTTGTTCTTAGCTATACCTTTTGCCACCACCAGTTTCATACTGCTTTTGCCAGGCTTTTTTAAATGGGCCCTGCCTCAAATAATTGTACTATATTGCCTTGGAGTCTAACTAAAATGGATCATTAAAAACAAAGTAGAAATGCTTGTTACCACTTCTCCCCTTACAAACCTGATGTCATATTACATGTTCTGCTGAGCAACATGACAGTTAGTGGCATATCAAATACAAATAAGATGAGAAGGAACAAGGATGGGGCTAAGGGATGGTCATCCTTCCAATGTCACTGTGCATCACTATTTCAAAAACCTTAAACTGGTTTTCGACCAGCATATTTCCCAAGATCCTGCATCTATCCTTCTCCAGCTGTCTTTCTATAGGTTTGGTGTATCATTTTCATATCATTCGCTGGGGTAGCATGGGGAAAGTAAATCCCTAAGCGCAAATTCAAGAATGTTCTATCTACATAAACTTTTACACCAAAACATCTGAAATTGTCAATGTCTGTTAGGATCATCTGGCCTTTTTCAGAATAATGATGCCCAAAGACTCTGGAGAATACTTGTCAGCAATTTGACAGCAGAGCCTTCTCCTTCAGAGTTATTATACCTACAAATTGCATCTAAATTTGTGAATAAGAAAAAATAATGTCCCATGGTAGTCCCTGAGATGCACACATTCTTTCAATTCAGCTTGAGTTTGAAAATTAAGTGAAATAAGATTAGTTTCACATAAATGCAGCCAAAGCAGGTAATTTTTCCAACAGCATTCATCAGAATTGAAGCCAGACCCTGTGACTAGTTCATGTCTCAAAATGCAAGATAAGCAGAAATCTAATTAGTGATCATTTTTCATCACTACATTTCCATTTTAGGAAAAGTTTGTTTAAATTCTGACAGCTTATTTAGCTGTTGAATCTCTTCTGGCAGGTCATTCCACACTCCAAGAGCGACCAAAAGAAAGATCTTCTGGAAGACAGTTGCCAGTCAAGTTCTGTCTGGCTGGAATAGCCGGAATAGCCAGAAGGCCTCAGTATCCAAAAGGACAGATCATATGGGAGAAGGCGATCCTGCAGCTAACCTGAAACCAAACCATGTAGGGCTTTAAATCTAATAATGAACACTTTGTACTTTGCCCAGAAACTAATTGGCAACTAGTGGAGTGATTTTAGTATAGGTGTAATATGTTCACTCCTAGATCTTCCTGTAATTAATCTAGCTGACATGTTTTGAACTAATTGGAGTTTCCAAACTTAGTACAGAGGTAGCTCAAAGTAAAGCGCATCGCAGAAGTCCAACCTTGAGGTTACCAGCATCTTCACTACTATCTTTAGATCTTCCAGTTCTAAGAAAGGGCACAACTAACATATTGGCCAAGGAGGCAAGATAACAGTCAGAATGGGGCAACCGCCAGGAGCTCACATGGAGCTCTGTGGCTAGCTGGGAACACAGTTATAGAAATGGAATATGAGGTCACGGTCCAGTGGGACTAATGCAGTTTCAGCACAGCTGGACCATATGGGCGCCAACCCAGCACTGCAGTGAATTCACCAGGGTGCATGTGGGCACAGATTTAGTAACCAGTGTAAATGCACCCTTAAGAGCAGTAATTAAAGATTTCATGAACTCATTGTCCTTCAAGTAGGAGACACTAGACTGTGAAGAATATTAGAAGAATAGATTGTAAGTGTCTGCTCTCCATTCACTCACATGATCTTTCCTTATTCATAACACCAACTTTATAGTGCTCTCTAATTTTGTGCTTAATTGTAACATGCTCTTATCAAAGAACCCACACAAATATGCTCACCACTACCATTAGCAGGGTCAAGACATCTTCAAACACCCTTTTTAATTCTGAATATATTACTAACTTTGACCTGTAACAGGGATGAAAAAGCATGAAAAACAGTAACCTGGTTTTATCCCCAAAGACAAAACCACAGCCATTGAGAATAACCTGTAGCACAGAAGAAAGAGGAAGCCTCCGTCAAGCACTGGGTCATCCAGCACCAACATAGTCACCACTGGCTAATATCCAAGAGGGCAGGACTTTTCCTATTCAGGCACCAGAACTAGAGACTCCCAACCCTTCCTACATTCCATGGCAATGGCTGGTTAAAGTACCTCGAGCTATCTTATACCATGAATTTGCTCAAGCAGCCCTAGGAGAAAAGCTATTACCATTAATATTGAAGGACTATTTCATTCCCCTTCAGGAACTTTCTGCAAAAAGTAGAAGTCCCTTATGACTAATAGAAAAAAATTGATAAGAACACACAGCTGCAGACAATCAAGAAGTTCAGCAAATTCAAGCACTCAAGTCAACATGATTCATTTAGCCCTGAGATATCTTGGTATTCTTTTATTAATGGAATGCCTTACCTTTAAGGCTTCTTTTTCTTTTTCTATCCGTTGATGGTCCAGGTGCACTTTCACAAGAGCTGCCTCTTTAGCATTGATCTCTTCTTTCAGCTGGTCTACCTGGTGTGTCATAATCTTCAGTTTTTTCCTCATTTCATTGATTTCATCCTAAAAGAAAATAATTAAGTACATTGTGGGTAAAGGTACTGTTGTAAGCAGTGGTACATAAAACTCAACTATTTTTCACCATGGCCATGTCTTCACTAAACCCCAGAACTCATTAATGGGGAATATGTTCAATGTGCAAACCCTTTCCTTAAAAGCATTGATTATAAGTGATAAATTTCCATTCACTGTCACCCTTGATAAATTGCTTTCCTGTTATTAGGCCAAACCACAGTAGCAGACTATCTCTCAGAAAACTCTATTCAGGAGTCTGACCTTTCTTAAGATTTGCTTATGGAGCATACAAAAGTGAAAGTCAAAGTGCTGGTCAGTTTCTGCACAACAATTGGGGAACACCTATGTAACTAGACAAGACATTGGCAAATTACAACCAAGTGTTTAAATTGGTATATGCAATTTGTGGGAAATAGACACACACATCTATGCTTCTCCAATCTTTTATATTGCCTATGAAATCTCCATTATTAGTCCCATTCCACAAAAGGCAGGAATCCAGGACACAAACCTATCATGCTAGCATCTGTACTTTCTACCTGTTCTGTAAAATTTGTTCCTTCCACTGCTAACAAGGAGATAAAAAGCAACTGAGATGAAATTGTTATTATTACCCTTGAGATGCTTACATTTTTGGAAGCTTGGAGTCAGAGTTAAGAAATACTATTATCATCTCTCTACACTTCATCAATGTGGAAGTAATTACTATCAAAAATAATGTACTGAGCTGGAATCCAACTGGTTTTCCCAGATGTCTCTTTAGAGTACACCAAGTCCAATAAGACATTAGAAATAACGAACAAAACTCGAAAATGGTAGGTAGCTATGACATGACCATAACATCTGGGTGGTATTGAGCAATGTCTTGTCAGACAACAATGCAAAAAACTTCTGGCAACTTATATCGGGAGCCCTGCAATCTATCCATAGAGCCCCAAGCTGTGGAATCCCAGCCCAGGTGTGGGAATATAATTTTAGATCTAGCTTTACGGATACCATCTGTCTTAATCTAGATCCAGAATTGGATCAGGATGCTAATTTTCACGCCTTGTCTGTGTGGGATCCAATTTCTGTTAACACCATAATCAACCTAATTTGTCATCTTATGAACAAAAAAGCACCAGGCTTCAACCATGTTCCCACTGAACTCATTAAAACCAATCAACACTGTTGGACACCCGTACCCGTATTTAGAGTCAGACTTTTCTTCCAGAAGTCCTCCTACTTTGAAATTCTATTAGAAGCCTAAGATATGGGGAAAGCCCAATTTCTTGATGCTTAAGAATCATACAGAAAATGCTGAAATACAAAATCTAATCCAGGCAGCAAAATTGAATTATGAGTATGCAGTCATCAGCTGGATGTTTACTTGTCATGCTGCTGTTTAAGATATGGGAACACATCAAGGGAAACATTCTAAATAATATTCAAGTAATATCAATGTACAGAACAGCTATAAAGTTAGGTCTTTGTTTTTCACTTAGATGCATTACACAAAGAAGACATTTGAAACTAGAGATTGATCTGCTGATATAGACACAATAACTCACACCAACAGAAAAAGGAGAAAACTGAGTGTAAACCTTAAAGGTTTACAAATATATACTGATGAAAGAAGCTATTTTTAAAAGGATTTTGCACATGTTCGGAAATATACTTCTTTGAAAGCAGAAGCATGAGTTTTGCAAAGGTTCTGAAATATAGTAATTTGAAGGCAGAGGTACGAGTTTTGCAAAGACTGAGGTTATACTCAATTACATTAACAAGCAACAGTTCCCAGGACCAGAATGATTCAAAATACGAAAGACCTTAGCAAATACTGTAACACAGCCACCTTATCAAACATTTTTACTGTTTCTTATCAAATATTTTTATTGTTTCTGAGCTTATGATACCTTGGAGATCAGGAAAAAAGCATATACAGGGCTAGTCAACAGGGAACCTGCCCTTTTTAAATAATATAAAAATGACTTCCAAGAGCTTTGTTCTCTCAAACAATCCTGCGTGCCGTTAATTTACATTTGAAAAAGTGATATTAGTTTTCAGACAATTTTTCATTCCCATGGCTGGCTAGTCTGTTACTGAACTATGACTGTTTTATTACTATAGTATAGCTTTAACTCCAAATGACTTCTCACACTCTTTACCCTTGCAATTAATTCAAACTGTAAACAAAACAATCCACTATAATTCAAAGACAAAAGGTCACATCCTCTACATGACCCCACAGGGTCAATTCATTTGCACATAACATCCTAACATGTATAACATCTTCATAATGGTATTAGCTAGGCATGGCAACAATTTTCAGGCTTAAACTCAGGACTGATAAAACTGCTGCAAACATCTCATGAAATGATAACTGGAATACTATAATGAGCCTTCAATATTGTTTACGGCCTGCTGTTAGTACTCATTTTGGGAAATGGACTGGTGTTTGGTGTCCATTCAAGAGACCATATAGCATCAGTCTTACAAGACCTAAGCTGGCTTCCAGTTCAAGATTATAATGACCTATAAAGTCGTAAAAAGATATCTGATGGACTGCTCCACTTCCAGTCTGTCCAAAATCTGATTATTTTTTTCTTGAAGCTCCATTGTGTGTCCCAATATTTCATGGGGCTGATGTGTATATGTTATAAGCTGATGTGTATAGGTTATAAGTAACACCCCGAATGTGGAAATCCCTGCCAAAGGAAGTTAGGCTGACTTTATCTCTTTTGAAATTCTGCTGAACGGCTAAACAGTGCTATTCTGCAGGACTTTTGTGTTTGAAACCACTGATTATTTTGATTTAAAAAATATTTCTAAGGATCATTATTAGTTTTTAAAGGTTCTTAATTTTGATTTGTTTTCATAGCTTTGTCTCTATATGATTGGCCCACCGCATTTGCTGGTGTTGGGGGCACAATAATTGCAAATTTAAAATCTCAAAGTTCTCCATCACGACTCTTTGGTCAACTTATACCAAAATGACCTAGGTCATCCTCTTGCAGAAGTTGATCTAGAATTGCACTGGAGGACCTAGAGATCCCTATAGACAGCATGTCAATCAAATCCTAGAATAATCAAATTTGCAAAAGTCAAACCCACAAATGTGGAGGGCCAACTGTACGCTTTTAAGTGTTTTTAACTATTGTACATTTAATTCTATGGTTCCTTGATGGGCTGGGATACAATATATAAATACTTCTTTTAAAATAAGTTTTTTCGTGTCAGAAATGTCTTGAGAAACTGCAAGTTGATTCTGGTGTGAGAGACCTTGCCCAGGAGACACTTGGATGTTTTACCATCCTGTGGGAGGCTTCTCTCATGTCCCCACATGAGAAGCTGGGGCTGACAGCTGAGAGCTCACCTCGCTCCCGGATTCAAACCACCAGCCTTTGGATCAGCAGTCCTGCCGGCACAAGGGTTTAACCCACTGCGCCACTAAGAGCTCCACTTTAAAAACTAATTTCTATCATAATGTCAAGAAGGCAAGATTAAAATAGTGACATCATGCATTATTAGGTTAACTCACTGCTTCACATTCCCCCCCCCCCCACCCCACCTAGTGCCATGTTAATCACTCTTCTAAACAAATGATAGACACCCCACTGGGTGCATCTTTGTGCTACAAATCTATGTCAAATTTAGATAAGCAGTCCTTTGAAACTAATTTTATGAATTTGAGAAATCACCTTTATTGAGAAAAAACAGTGAAAAACCCCATTTCACACAGTGAGTTTTGTCCTGCTTTTATCACAACCTCCTAACACTAAACAAAAAATTGTTGCATACTATTGAATCAATATTTGTATTTATACTCAGTTCAAACACAATTGAAAACAGAGCTGATCCTTAATTATTTGAATGCGTTTAGCTCCTGGTTTTATTGCACCTGTTTTGGCTTGAAATGTTTTGAGATTTTAAGGTTTTTATACAGAAATGTTCTGAAATTAAATATTTTCTCATAAATCTGGATTTCTGGTGTACATTCTTAAGTGATCTTTGGAGGATGGCAAATACAGCCAGTGCTTTTTAAAAACCACAGTCACTTGAGACTTTCTTACTTCCCTAATGCCTTGTCGTTTCATTTACTTGCTCCCTTCTTAACTCTCTTCCTTTCAAATACATACTTGAAGACACTGTCCTCTGAAAGCATTCTAGATAGTGCCTTTTTGCAAAGATATCCTGTTAATATCTATGACACCCACAGGTTGCTGAGAGACCAAAATGCTTTAAACACCTTGATGGAATTGGCCTTCATTATTTCTCCATTCCATGTATTATGTGAGAATGGCTGGTTGAAACAAAATGGGAAAACAAATTTAAGAACAGAATTGCTTTATGGTACCTGGGCTTCAATCAGATTTTTACTATAGAGGTTTCTGTCTGATCTCACAGCTTCATAGAGATTTTGTTGTTGTTTTAATTTTGTTTCATACTCTGCTATCATCTTTTTGTAATCAAAGATCTGCATTTCCCGCACTTTAATGTCTTCCATATGATGAAGGACCTGTCAGAGAAAAACATAACATCAGTAACAATGAGTCTTCTATGGTGACTGGCAAAAATAAAAAACACAGAGTCTAGGCACAGAAGTAATGAAAGGTATAATTATGTCTTTCCAACCAATTGTAGAATATATCCTTATGCAAACATTTCTGTCTTACAACAAGCTTCAGAGATTGTAATCTGAAAAAGTTCTTGGGGGGACAAATTCATAACACTTTCTCCACACATTATTTCCTTACTGAAAATTAACCTTGTTCCAGTTGCCATGACCCAACATAGGAACACTTTTCCCCAACAGACATAAAAGCAATCTATTGCAGTCAATTTTGCAATTCTCAAAAACAATTAATTATGCATGTATATGTTATTTATTTATGGTAAGTGAGGTTATTTGAACTCTGATTATGGAAAAACTGAAACTCCTTGCTGAATAATTATAATAAGCATAAATCAATACGGTGCCTTATTCTCAAACTGTGGAATAGGTGTCTTAAGAAATCTCAATTAGTTTCAATGGGAAAACAAAAATAATTAAAAGAATTTATTTATTTTGTATCAAAAGCATTGCATAAATTAGGATAAAACTGATAAAAATAGAAGGAGCACAAGCAGCTAAGTATCTCTGATCAAAAATGGGCAAAAGAGACCCCATTGTCTATAGCCTCAAATAATTCTTCCTCTGTACATGAGGCAGGACATTGCGGACAAGCATACAGATGTGGAGCTATCTGTTCTGCTCCACAGTCGCACAAGGTGGAGGATTCTTTTAGGTAGTGCCATTTTGCCAGACTGTCTTTTGATTTGCCCACTCTACTTCTGAGTCTGTTGTTTTATTGTTTTGTATTACTGTTGTTGTTTTTTGCTGATGTATTGTGGGCTCGGCCTCATGTAAGCCGTGCCGAGTCCCTTGGGGAGATGGTAGCGGGTACAAATAAAGTTTTATTATAATATTATTACTATTCTGCATTTTTTGCTCAATGTATGCTCACCTGCTTCACGTGGGCAGACTTGTGCCAAACATTAAAAAGAATAAAATGTAGCATCCATGTGGGTTAATTTACCCAATTTATATTCTTTATAACTGAAAAATTCACAACATTCCAAGAGACTTTTGCATTTTAATTTCATATGCAAAGAATTCCCATGATCCGAAACACTGTGCTTTCCCCTGTACCCCTTTGTCACTCTGCTTTATCAAAACTGTCAGCAACTATCCTATTGTACTGCATACTTCATTGCAAGGATGAAAGCAATCAAGGTTACCTGCTTAATCATGTCACCATTCACTCTTTTGCTTTTTTAAAAAAAGCTCTTCTGATAGAGAGAAAAAATGGAACCAAAGAGCAGAAGCAAATGACACTACACAGCAAAAAACATAATCCTGGGAATCCTGCATCTATGTTAATGAATCTTCAATGGAAGAGAAATTATTAATGTTCAGAACACCCGCTCTGTGACAGCAGAGCTTGCGTTTAGCACAGCCAGTCTCAGTAAAAGATAAACCTTGTGGTGTACACTTGGTATGCTTTAGAGTAAAAGCTGAATTATCAGGATTTTCTGACCGGCGTCAGAAACAAAGAATGTCTAAATATGGAAGTTTTGTATCAGTAGTGGTGACAGTACTCCAGCTTATTTGTCGCTGACTGCAGTGTTGCCTAAAATTTGCCTACACGTTAAAATAAAAGCAGAAACCCAGTTTACTATGCAACTCCCACCTTCTTCCTTTCCCCATTAAAAACAAGTTGCCAATAGTAATAAAGTGAGACTAAAATCAATAACATGTATTCACATCTGAAGTCTAGTTCAGTTTATATGAATGGGAGTAAAGCCAGAAGACCGATCATTCAGCTTGTTACAATGCAATTTTGGAGCTGATGAACAAAAATACAATAAATGACTTGACTACGGTTGGTATTCAATTAAAACCTCCTGCTAACAGAATTGTTTCAGTCAGAGAAATAGGAAAAAGGACAATTTTTCCTTTGAAGCAGTTTTAGGAGATCTAGAGGGTGCAAGGAGAGAGAAAATTAACTTACAGAACATTGCAAATGTATTCCTACTTGCCATTTGTGGTTCTGAGTCTGACTGTGTTTTTATAAGAATTTTAAAAACTGCTAGTGGAAACAATACTTCTTCCTGTGTCTAAGCTGTCAAATGGAACTGGATAAATGCATGAGAATTATTTATAAAGGATTTCAATCCATAGTCTCAAGGGAGAAAGTGCAAAGGCAGATTTACAACTGAACTTTTTTTAAAAAAATCAAAATTAAGAGATTTACATAACTTTACAATAGATTATGAAGACAACGAAGAACTTCAAGATATACCATATTTTGGCTCAGACATTTATCAGAATGGAGACTACAGTGAAGAAATCAGAAAACAAGAGTTTGAAAGGGAAGCTATGAAGGAATTAGCTAAGATCCTGAAACGTAAAGATATAATACTGAATACTAAAGTAAGGATGGCCCATGCCATCATATTTCCCACTTCTATGTATTGTTGTGAAAGCTTCAAAATGAAGAACGCCGATATGAAGAAAATAAGAGATGTGGGGCTGGACTCTTTAAAAAGATAAAAAATGGGTCCTCAAACAATTCAAGCCTGAACTCTCCCTAGAGGTCAAGGTGACTAAAATGAGTTTGTCCTCCTTTGGTCATATCATGAGAAGACATGATTCAATAGAAAAACAACAATACTTTGCAAAATAGAAAGCAACAAGAAAAGAGGAAGACCAAGATTTCTAGTAATTTGAAACATGAAACCCATGAAGTTTTTGGAAGAAACTGGAAGTTGGCTATAGCATATCTGTCGGAAGAATTTAAGAAGTAATAACAAGAGGCATTTCTTTACTTAGAAGTATAAAGGAGTAAATAAAATGAATATAAACTCTGTGTGGACTAGTGACAGAAGCCAAGGTGGTATGTTGCACTGTGGCTGGGATGAGGGGTTACTGCAATGTGGGTGATGGGTTGTCTATGTTTGTGTATGTGTACTTGTTTGTAATGTGTATTGTGGGTGTTTCATAATTTAAAAAAAATAAAAAAGTAAAAGAGTAAGACCAAATTCCATATGGTTAGACTCAATCGAGGAATCCATGTTTCTGAGCTTACAAGACTTGATTAAGGCTGTTGGAGATATAGTGACTTGGAGATCTGTCATTCACAGAGTTGTAATAATTCAAAGTTGGTATGAAGATAGTTAACAACAACAAAGACAAAGTAAAAAAGTTTTAACTAAGTGTTGCAAACATACGTCTAACATTGTATTCAATGTCCAATTAACTGATATAAATGAAATATAGCCCCAAACACATTGCCAAATACATGATGGAGCAGAATTTTCCAGACTAGTGGGAAAGGAAGATTTCCGAAGTATAAATCCCAATGAAATGCAGAAAGTGGAAGATGCTATTTTGATGTATATAACAATTAACAGATGACAAAGATTGTTCTATACTGCATTTTCAAAACATAAACACACAAACAAGAAAGAAACATTCAAAAAGTAATCCTCTACCACCTTTGAAAGTATTCCATTTCACTCTATTATATCACCTTATCTCTATCCCAACTCAATCTGCTTCATGTGTACATGAGATGAAAAGGTGCAGAGGAAGTACAGATTGGAGAAGCTGTTAGACAGGAAACTTCATTTGTCTGCACTTTCATCTCTTTTGCCTAAGGCAGTGCTACTTCAAGTGGTGACATAATGAACAGGAGCTGATCCATAGGGCATTAGCTACTGATCCATGGGTAGTTTCCAGAATATAAATTACATACAATCATAATATGGTACTGTCTTCCGTACACTGAAAAAACCTTGCTACTCTAGCTCATCTGACAGTTTGCAGAATTTTGACTAAAAAAATAGAGACCTGGAGTGATAGTGCATCCTCAGTTGTTACACAGCAGGTTGGGAATGCTCATAAAGTATTAATTACACTCCCATTACTTTGAAGGAAGAAAGCATGATTTTGGTTTGCTATGCTTCTTGCACCAGTCCTACCATGTGTTGGCATGATTTCAGCATTTATACTAATATGTAAGATAATATGTTTGACCACGCCTTGAAAGGAAACACTTAACAGAGTTAGTTTTAAAACTATCTTTACATAAAACCAAACATGTGTCTTAAAACTATATGTATACATATATCACTTTTTATTTCTAGGATGTAACTCTACAGAGATAGAGATTGTAAAATGGGGCTAACATATCACAATTCTTTCCCTGCTTACTCAACAAATCAAGCCTTTTATGACAATGTTAACCTCTCTCTCCCAAATCGCTCCCTACCACAATGATAAATGTATTGCTGAAGATAAAGGTTAACCACCATAAACATACACAAGCGCACACACAACAAAAACAAATCTCACTTAAATAGGATATTACTATAAACAAGTTATATATGTTGCCATACATCAAATCAACTGATTTCCATTATGCTAGATGAAGCCGCTAACACTAAACATAAACGATGAAGGCAAAAATGATGAGTAAAAACAGACTGAAAGCCAGAATGCCAGTCAGTGATGAAGTTTTATGAAGAACTCTTCATCAGGTTTTCAAAGAACTAGTGGAGCATTTTATAGGTCAAGCAAGCAAAAAAAAAAAATCTGCCCGCAAAGAGTGAATGCACAAAACAGACAGGAGGGAACACCTATCTCTGCAGACCTTCATGTGCCTTATACTGCAAATCAGCTGCACCAAAGTTTTGAAACTCCCTTCGAAAGTATAACAGGAAAGTATTTATTTATTTATTTATTTATTGCATTTCTATACTCCTCTTTTCACCCCTGGAGGGACTCAGAGCGGTGTACAATATATTGAAATGGGGGGGGGGGGAATCAACAGGGGAACATATACATATGGGAACATACATATAAAAACAGTACATAACATAACTAAAGCAATCTATATATATAAAAATGCTCTGTGCATAACGGGTACCTTAAAAACAAAAGAACCAATGAACGAAATCACACCAAATTTGGCGACAAAAGTCTCATAACACAAGGAATGACCATCACTCAAAAATTATGATTTTGTCATTTGGGAGTTATAGTTGCTGGGATTTATAGTTCACCTACAATCAAAGAGCATTCTGAACTCAATCAACAATGGAATTAAACCAAACTTGGCACAAAGAACTCCCTGGACCAACAGAAAATACTGGAAGGGTTTGGTGGGCATTGGCCTTGAGTTTGGGAGTTGTAGTTCACCTTCATTCAGAGAGCACTGTGGCCTCAAACAATGATGGATCTGGACCACACTTGGCACAAGCACTCAATACACCCAAAAATGAATACAGATGGAGTTTGGGGGAAATAGACCTTGACATTTGGAAGTTGTAGTCACTGGGATTCACCTACAATGAAAGAGAATTCTGAACCCCACAAATGACAGAATCGGGGCAAACTTCCCACACAGAACCCCCATGACCAACAGAAAATACTTAAGGCCATCCAATACAACTCCCTTTATCAGGGCAAGTAAACGTAGTCAAAGTCCTCCTGACAAAGAGCCATCCAGCTGTAGATATACATATAGATATAGATAGAGGGATAGCTATTGTCCTCCCAACCCTGCTGTATGCCTGTGAGACGTGGACTGTCTACAGACGTCACATGCAACTCCTGGAATGATTCCATCAGCACTGCCTCCAGAAAATCCTGCTAATCTCCTGGGAAGACAATCGGACAAACGTCAGTGTGCTGGAAGGAGCAAAGACCACCAGCATTGAAGCGATGTTCCTCCAACATCAACTCCGCTGGGCCGGCCACGTTGTCCGGATGCCTGACCACCGTCTCCCAAAGCAGTTGCTCTACTTTGAACTTAAGAATGGAAAACAGAATGTTGGTGGACAGGAAAAGAGATTTAAAGATGGCTCAAAGCCAACCTTAAAAACTCTGGCATAGACACTGAGAACTGGGAAGCCCTGGCCCTTGAGCGCTCCAGCTGGAGGTCAGCTGTGACCAGCAGTGCTGCAGAATTGAGGAGGCACGAGTGGAGGGTGAAAAAGAGAAACATGCCAGGAGGAAGGCACGTCAAGCCAACCCCGACCGGGACCGCTTTCCACCTGGAAACCAATGCCTTCACTGTGAGAGAAGATGCGGGTCAAGAAGAGGGCTCCACAGCCACATGCGGACCCACAAGGAAACCCATAATGGAAGACCATCTTACTCGTCCAATGAGGGATCGCCTAAGTAAGTAAGTAAGAGAGATACATAGGGAGTTGTAGTTGCTAGGATTTATAGTTCACCTACAATCAAATAGCATGAAAGAATTGAACCAACCGGGTTATACAGAACTTCCATGACCAACAGAAAACACTAGAAGGGTTTGGTGAGCATTGACCTTGAGTTTGGGAGTTGTAGTTCACCTACATCCAGAGACTACCATGGACTCAAACAATGATGGATCTGGACCAAACTTGGCACGAATATTCCATATGCCCAAATATGAACATAGATGGAGTTTGGGAGAAATAGACCTTGACATTTGGGAGTTGTAGTTACTGGGATTTATAGTTCACCTACAATCAAAGAGTGTTCTGAACCCCACCAACGACAGAATTGAGGCAAACTTCCCACACAGAACCCCCATGACCAACAAAAATACTTAAGGCCATCCAGTCCAACTCCCTTCACCCAGGGCAAGAAAACGTAATCAAAGCCCTCCTGACAAGAGCCATCCAGCCATAGATATAGATATATATATGATTCACACAGAGATATAGTATCATAGATTTGAAAGGGACCCCTAAAGAAGGACAATTATGTGTTGCATGTTCCAGAGTAGGCAAACCAGACACTCTCCACATCAACACTGACAAAGAAACAGCAAGAAATACTGTTTACCCACAAGCATAAAGAAATTACATATATTAGAAACCAACACTTTCTCATTACTTTATTTTCCACTGGGCCACAGCAACGCGTGGCAGGGGACAGCTAGTAACATATAAATATGAATTTAAACCATTAAAAACTATACAAAGACACCTCATAGCATGAACATAAAACATATAAAACATTGCACCAGTCCCACAGATATCATTTAGCTGCTTCCGTAATACTATCACTTGCCAAATGCCTGCTTGCATTGCCAAGTTTTAAGTTGCTTCCTGAACACCAGGAGGGAGGGGCCAATCTAATTCCACTGGGGAGGGAGTTCCACAGCCGAGGGGCACCCCTGAGAAGGCCCTATCTCTCGTCCCCACCAATCGCACCTGCAAAGGTGGCAGGACCAAGAGCAGGACATCCCTGGCTGATCTTATCAGTCGAACTGGCTCATAAAGTGAGATACGTTCAGACAGGTAAGCTGGAACGGAACCATTTAGGGATTTATAGGCTCAAGCCAGCACTTTGAAATGTGCTCAGTAGCAGGCTGGTGGGTATCTGGTTTGTGATATGCTGTTTTAAAATTTTACATTTTAATGCTTTCAAAAGAGTATTTCAACTGAATGTATTTTCTGGACTTTTAAAAAGTTTGGACTTCATATGCTCTGATTTAAGTTATGTTGCTCTGAATCCCATGTGGGAGAAAAGCAGGACCTACATTAGATAAATAAATAATACTTTTGTTGTTTCAGCACGTTAATCTTCTGCCACTGTTACATTGCTTTAGTGGTTTTGTTATAAAGTGTAAAGGATGCTTTACACTGTTAATTTATGAAAGGCTTGTTTTTGGCTGGCTTGAACTCTTAAAAAGGAAAGGTAGGACACAATGATCTACCATCAAGCAAATAAATAATTTTGCACACCACAAAACAACAGTTTTGGGAGATGCATGTGAATCTGCCAAAGTATAAATCTCAGAATTTGAAGCAGGTACTATTTTATATATGTTCGAGCACTGTTTTTTAAAAAGGTGAGGTTTCTCTGAAAACTAACTGCAGATACTTGAATATGTCCTAAAATGGAATCTTTCAGAAGCAGAATACAAGCAGATGACTAGGCATAACTCATAGGAGCAGTTTTAATCCTCACATATGTTGCATAGCCATAGTGCCGGATTTAGGACAGATGGGGCCGTGTGCTAGTTAAGTTATGAGGTTCCTTATTTGGGCCCTGAAGGAGGTGGGTCCGGTAGGCCTACACTGCCTGCTTTGTGGCACTCTCTCATAGATGATCAACTTTAGTATTATGTCTGGAATCGCTTCTAAACACAACACCTTCAAACTAAGAATTGCACCACATAAGCAAAATCCATCATTAAAAAAACCTGGCTGGAAGAAGCATACATAAGCACAATAGTAAATCAGACAATGGATGGTGGTTTCTATGGGCTCTTCCACACAGCCATATAATCCAGAATATCAAGTCACAAATTCCCACAATATCTACTTTGAACTGGGTTATCTGAGTCTACACTGCCATATATTCCAACTCAAAACAGAAAATGTGGGGGGGGGGGGGGGCAGCTGTTTGGAAGGGGACTTTGTCAATTGGGTTTCAGTCTGAATGTGACGGGAATTGCCAGAGATGATGAATCCATTTTGCAGGAACAATTCAGTACCTTAGATCACTTCTTCTTAAACTTTAGATCCTGACCCCCCAATGGGGTCTCCTTAGCTCAATGTTGTGGTCATGAAAAATTTGGCAACAAATTTGAAACCAAAGAAACCAAATTTGGTTTCTGAGTCCACCAACGTACACAAATCAGTTAGCAACAACGTGAAAGTTTACAGTGGACTCCGCAGAAAAAAGTTGAGCTGTAGTCCACAAAAAGAAAAATCATCCTGTTTAGCAAGTGTTGCAAATGCTGATTTATCAGCAAATGTTTGATTTTTATATCTATTTTTATACCTATATACCTGGAATGACATAAAAATTTCTCTGGCAGAAAGGGGTCATGAGTGAAAAAGTTAATAATCCCTCCCTTTGATAACTTCTTTACAACTCAAGACTGAAACCCACAGCAGATTCACTACCCTACTGAAATGATAACCAGAAATCCATCTCAAAATATCAAGACCTGAAAAGAGACATCTTGTCAGCTCTAAGAAAAAAAAGCACTGTCTCTTCAACAAGCTCTCCCTTACCTTCTGTGTGAGATCACTGGCTTCATTGATATAGCGGTCTCTCTCCTTCTCCAGCTGAAAAATAATCTTCCTCTGTTTAAAAGCCTCATCCTTATAATTCTGAATTTCTTCTTCTAGGTTCTTTTTTGACTGTTCATGGAGCTTAACAAGGTTCATCTGCTTCTGAGTGACACTGGCAGCCTTGAGCAAGTTCTACAAAAAGAAGATTTTGATTAGTACTCTTGTAAAACGAGTTAACAGTATATGGGAAACCTGTGTCCATTTCAACAAATGAAAAGCAGCCATGGGAGGCTGCAGATGGAAACAGAAGAGCAGTGGAGAAGGGGTGCTTTATTCTTTTGCCTCCGGCTGCTTTTCCACTCAAAATCTTCCCAGCTGCTTTTCTATTAAATCCCATATACCCATACCAGTCCTCCACTCTCAACTACAGCTTCTTACAGCTATAGTTATGAAAGGAGCCTACACATAAGAAATCTTGAGAGATTATGTAATATTCGACTCTCACTCCATCCAGTAGAGATTCTCTAAAAGATGGGGGAAAGAAAACAGATTGATATACAGTTAGATGTCTGAGTACTCTTTGAGTAGATAAACAAGAATGTCTAACTGTCAAGAGTTTAATAATAGGAAAAGCAAAATAACTTCATTAAGCTAAATATGGGAAATTATGGTCCATTCTGCTCATTTCTGGAAATAAAAAATATATTTCAGAAATGTGTGATTTTTTTTGCAAATGTCTGCTTGGTGGCTCTTAAGAAGTCTACCAACCTGTTTACCACAAACAGTGATTTGCAAATAACAGAAGTAATAACCATCTGTAAAACAGCTGTGTTGCTACTTTCAGATGGCCTTTACATTTTCTCACCTGCCCCATGGCATTTAACACTGGTTTTTCCTCTCTTCCACCCTAGTTTGAAGAATTTGAAGCCCATGGAGTCACTAATTGTAATTCAAGAGAAAGACCAATGGAAACATAATCCCTTCTATTATTATTTTGTGCCTTCAAATAATTTCCAACTTAAGGAAAACCTATGGTGAACTTATGACAAAATTTCCTCTGATTTGTTCAGAGCGGAGCTGGCTTTTCCTTCCTCTGAAGATGAAAGAGTGTGACCTGCCCAAGATCATAAAGTAGGTTTCTGTGGCCAAGAAGGGCTTTGAATCCTCATCTCCAGAATGGTAGTCGACACTTCTCAACTTAAACTGTGAATGTTTGGGAAAATAATGCAGACTTTGGAAAACTAAAATAAAATCGACATCCACTATGTCCCAAAATGATGCTCTTTTGGACCAAATAAGATCTCTAATTAATACCACGCACATCATTTTTAAAACAGTTGTAAATCTCTTTCTTTCAAGTTAATGTTGATTTTTTTAAAGCTTGTACTTTCATTGAGGAGATCTCTTTTATACTAAAATGTATACAACAATTTCATTTATATAAGAGACATTAATAGAGAATACAAGTTCCATTAACTACAATGGGCCTTCTGGATCAGCAAACTCTGAATCTGCAATTTCCACCTACGACATATTGTTGCATTCTATATATAAAATAGCAATCTACAGAATACAGATATGCTGAAACATCCACATGTGCATTGCTGTCATTTAATAATATAGGATCCATTCATCTACTTTTTGGCATCCACAGGGTGTTCCAGAACCAAATTCCAGCAGATCCAGAAGGCCCGCTGTTACAGCCACTCAGGAGGCCTCTTGTAAGGAGATATAATGTTATTGTTTCATTTCATGAATAAGAACATCTGCATATTCTAAGGATCTATTTGATCATTTATCAATTCTACAGACAAGCTTCAACCACAAAAATCAATGAAACCTTTCTCATCATAGGAAAACAACTATTCTTTTGCTGAACTGGTAGAAGACTGGATATTTTTAGATGAAATACATTTTTTCATGTAGCTAAACTGGTAACTAAAGGCCAAGCTGCTGCTTCTAGCTTAACTGTTCTTCTTAGGATCCTAGAGTGTTTATATAATTAAATGAAAAAAGAAAAGACCGCAAGTAGTTTTGGATGAAAACTGCTGAAATATCAATTCTCCAGAGACAGATGTATATCCTTACCTTGTTCAATATGTCCCTTTCTCTCACAAGTTCATCTATAGCTTTCTTATCAATCTCTGCTTGCTTTTTGGCAGCTTCCAGCTCTAAAAAGTACAGAGAAAGATTTTAGCCTTAGTTTCAAGTGTAGGACTTGAAGAAAGCAAGCTATTAGGGAACGGTTTTAAAAATCTCAATTCACTTCCAAAACTCATCGTCCCACATGAAAACTTTAATAAAAAGAACTTGCATTGAAGTATTACATGTTTTGGTGCCCACTTTCAAGATTCAATTTCTCTATGTACCTGATCTTACATTTTATTCATCTCTAGCAGTCAAGCACCCCATGGCCACTGGAAATGTGCAGTCCTCACTGGAATTTTTTTATCTCCAGGTGAGAGGGCTTCCCTGAGATATTTTTCTCAATCCTTTTTGTGCTTCTGCAATCCTTGAGATTCCCTAAAACCAAAGCCTCCCTCTTGCACCATTCTGGCTACCTCAATAAGAATTATGACTTAGACATTCTATTAATATTCCTAAAAAGAGGACACATAACACTGATGGGGAGATAGGAACACACAACACCATCTGAGCTCTGCGAGTGCAGCATTTTTCCGAATGAAGCATAGTGTGTTTGAGGACTGGGACATCCGTAGGGATACCAAGGTACTTGTTTATAAAGCTATTGTCCTCCCAACCCTGCTGTATGCCTGTGAAACGTGGACTATCTACAGACGTCACATGCAATTCCTGGAACGATTCCATCAACGTTGCCTCCGAAAAATCCTGCAAATCTCTTGGGAAGACAGGCAGACAAATGTCAACATGCTGGAAGAAGCAAAGACCACCAGCATTGAAGCGTTGGTCCTCCACCACCAACTCCGCTGGACCAGCCACATTGTCCAAATGCCCGATCACCACCTCCTAAAGCAGCTGCTCTACTCCGAACTCAAGAACAGAAAATGGAATGTTGGAGGACAGGAAAAGAGATTTAAAGACGGGCTCAAAGCCAATCTTAAAAACTCTGGCATAGACACTGAGAACTGGGAAGCCCTGGCCCTTGACCGCTCCAGCTGGAGGTCAGCTGTGACCGGCAGTGCTGTAGAATTTGAAGGGGCACGAATGGAGGGTGAAAGAGAGAAATGTGCCAAGAGGAAGGCGCGTCAAGCCAACTCCGATCGGGACCACCTTCCACTTGGAAACTGATGCCCTCACTGCAGATGAACATGCAGGTCAAGAATAGGACTCCACAGTCACCTATGTACCCACCGCCAGGATACCAAACTTGGAGGACAATCTTACTTAGATAACGAGGGATCGCCTAAGTAAGTAAGTAAGGTACAAGACATTGCCAAAGGTGATAGCTCTACCCACACATCTATTCAGGAAGTGTCATCACAGGACATAATCACATCATCCACAATATTAGAGGTACTTTCACTTGATCATCCTCTGATATATGCCATCCTCTGTCAACAATACTCCTCAGCAGTCTACATTGAGCAAATAGTCCGGTCTGTGTGACAGAGGATAAATGAACATACATCAAACAGTAGGAATGGGAATATATAGATAGATCAACAGACAGACTGTCAGATAGGCAGATCTACCTTTCTCTAACCCAGAGATATGGTTTTTAAGAAGTTCCCTTTCATGTTCAGCATGTATTTTTTGCTCTTCTACAGCACGTAATTTTCGTTGCATAATCTCTCTCGTTTTGGTAAGCTTTCCAATCTCTTGACGCATCTGAGACAGCTCATCTTCTCTTGACTAGGGAAAACAAAAGAATAGGAATGAGAACACAACAAAAATATATCAACATTTTTCCTCACTCGGATTCTTATATACCATCTTAGCTAAAACACATTAATAACAACTATGGTCATCTCTAATGAAAGATACAGCTCCAAACATATACAGAAGCTGTGGGGTTTGGCAGAGCATCCGTTTCATTATCTATCCTCTTTGACCCTCCAGTGTAAGAACAAAGTTTTCCTGTAATTGTGTTTTTCAAGTGATCATCGGCACCACCAACAAAAGAGTTTTGCACCCACAGAGATATCACTCGAGTAGCTTGGTGAGAACCCCTTCCTATTTCTTGCATATACAAGCTACCATTACCTCCATTTCAAGGCCTGATTCTAATACTCAGGGAACTGGAAAGGAGGGGAATGGTAGGACAGGTATATGTGAAGGCACAGATGATCACTTGAAGAACTGCAATCACAGGTAAACAACCTGTTCTCTCTTTTTTTTTGTCATCTTTGAACCTCACACAAATGGCTGAATGTAGAGCTTACCAAGATAAATGAGTGAAGAATGGAGAACCTGTCCAAAGTGAGCATATTGCTCTTAGTGTCCATCTTGTAGTGATTTGACAATTGTGATCACATAGCAGTCTTACAGAGGTTTGCTGACAATTGTGTTATGGGTCCTATAGGTACTTTGCTAAATTAAAGCACAGTCTGATCAGTTCCACAATCCAGTATGATTTGCCCAGGTCACACAGAGGATTTCCATGACCAGACAAAGATCCAAATAATGATCTGTGCACATATGTGTTTGTGTTTAAGGAAATAAAAGAGATAAAATATATTCCTGGAAAAGCCTGAATTATTGAGAGGAGAATTGCTTCCTTTCCCACCCTAAGTTGGATGGAAGATATGCTGGGATGGTGGTGGGGCAGAATGAGAAAAGGAGACAACAAAATAAGTGAATAAAAAGAGAGAGATTCAGCCAGTTAGCAGCACAGGTTCAATATCCCTAATCTAAAAATCGGAAATGCAAAATCTAAAACACTCATGGATGAGGCAGTAAAATCTTTGTTTCATGATACTTCAGTGCACACAAACTTTGTTTCATGCACAAAATTATTTTAAAACTTAATATTTAACTTCAGACTATGTGCATAACAATATACACAAACAATCCTATCTTTTATTGCCAACATTTATGCCACAATTAATATTTTAACTTTCTGCACTAATTTGTTTGTAGATCTCAAGTAAGGTAATATATTTTCACAAGAACTTGAACCTCTGTACAGTACTTTATCAGATCCAGATAAACCTTTTCATATAACTCCAGTAAATCATTTCCATTGTTTTAACCAAAAGAGGTACTTGAACTGCAATACCTCATCAGCAAATGATTTCCTCTATTTAACAGAATGAGCTTTATTTCACTTAAACTCAATAAACTATTGGTTTCCAGTCTTCTTCTTTAATATAAGCCATTATGTAATTCAATATATGCTTTTGAACAGAGGAGATTAAATGAAACAGACGAACAATGGCAATATCTTTACACAGTGACTTTCATCTCAAGGATAAATTGACCTACCTTTTAAAGGAAAGCACATCAAGGATGTCACAAAGGTAGTGGAAAACAACAAAGAGTTAGGGAACAGAAAGAATAGGAGTTTTTTTACTGGATGAATCCATTATTTGTGTGGAAAATACTACATATGAAAAAGTGAAGGTATCACTTTCCATAGGTACCATCAGGCATGTAGCTGGGGGGGGGGCTTGGGGGGGCTTCAGCCCCCCCCCCCCAAATTCTCATGGTGGTTCGCGAAAATGCCTTACTAGTGCATTATTTAAACTGTTATGTTTATTCATATCTTTATCTGATCACCCTACTCAATATATGGGGCATGGGGGTATTGGGGTAACGATACAAAAGGTTTGCTAGGGTAGACCCTCTTTCACTCGGACTCAGCCCCCCCCCCCAATTGAAATCCTGGCTACAGGCCTGGGTACCATATATTTCAATCATTTGAAACACTAGAGTTCTATATATAAAACAATCATTATACACAATACTGCTTCTGAACTTAGATTGTATTATATGTCATTTTCAACTTACTCTTAGCTCCAGGGTTTTCTGTTGATTCTCCTGTGACAGTTGCTCAACCACCAAAATGTGCTGGTCATTGTCTTGCTGGAGTTTGGCGTTTTTAATTTGGCATTGATCTAGGTCTTTCTGGAATCTTTCATTCTGGATCTATGGGATTGTTACAAAAATCATTTAAGTTGTTTTTAATCAGACTACTGAACCTACACAGAAAACTCAGTAACCTCTCAAGGTTTACCACATTTTCTTCACATTTCGTTCTGATTATCACATAAACATCATATTTCAATTATATTTCTATTTGTGATTTGACAGTTACAATACACAGCAATGCTTCCTGTAATCATTGCAAATTAGCAGGAGAGTCAAGTGGCTTTAATCAGGAGCACTAAAAGGTGCTATGAATTCTGGTAAACAAAGTTTACATTCATATTGAGCAATTCACAAAGTAATTGCTCAGTGGAAGGAAGCTCTGGGGTTTATTCCCCAGCATATTTGACTAACGTAGTGGAGAATTTACTATCACAAGGTATGGTGATGGTTATTGATAGAGATGGCTGAAAAAGGGTATGCATAGAATACAAGGCTATCAATGTCCTGTAACATGCTTCTGAACACAAATGTTTAGGAAGGAAAAACCTACTTGGACTGAATTTTATATCCTGTTTGTGAGGTTTGCAAAGAAAGCTAACCCATCAACTCGAATAGCAAATTGTGCCCCCCCCCCCAAACCTGGAGAAAGCAGGCTACAAACAGATGGTTCTGCAACATTTGGTGCTAGCAATACAGGGAATCTCCTATCAGTGTGCTTGAATCTCGAGGAAGAACCCTGCAGAGTCCAGTGTTTATGAAGGCATTTGTCCTTGGGTATTTGTCAGTTCTACTTTCTATAGAAGTTAAGGACAATAAAAATGGAGAAAGTCAAGCAAGGTGAGTTCCGAAGAGCGAAGGGGAGGAAGAAAGGGATGGAGTGAAGTGAGGGAGAAGAGGTAGGAGGTTAGTGAAAGCAGAGGAGAGAGGGAGAAATGTTTATGGACAGATAAGGCCTCAAGCAGGAGGAAAACTCATACCACTGCTAACCCAAAGGTATCTGGTTGACTCAGGTGGAAATCAAGATCCTATACATTAATAGGCATTTGACCTGATTACATGTTGCTCTGGGGAGAGCAACATGTAATCAGGCCAAATGCCTATTATGCTGGGGAAAGTAGAAGGTAAAAGGAAGAGGGGCTGACCAAGGGCAAGATGGATGGATGACATCCTTGAAGTGACCGGAATGACCTTGAAGGAGCTGGGGGTGGTGACGGCCAACAGGGAGCTCTGGCGTGGGCTGGTCCATGAGGTCACGAAGAGTCGGAGACAACTGAACGAATGAACAACAAACATGTTGCTCTTAAATATGTTTTCTACCTATAAAGATATTGGTAATTATTCCATCTCTAATCAATCTGCAGTTAAAAAAACAAGAAACACAGTATTGGAATTGTAATCTCTGTTATTACTACAAGATATACATGGCTGTTCACTCACATTCCCTGGACATTTTTCAAAGTAAAAACTCTAAATTAAATTGGAAACATTTTGAAAAACATTAAAATACAGAATAAAACTTGTTTCTATGAGAGAAAAATCAAATCACTTAGGAGCTCAACTGATAAAACACAGAACACATTAGAAGACTGAACTATTTTAAAGGGCTGATTTTCACCTGATGATAGAAAGATAAAGAAGGCAGCATACAAACCTTTTATTTTATTTTTTGTTTTGCCTAAAATATCTTCAATGGAAGAAGTTATCATTCACATACAGGGGGGAATTGGGGTATTTAGCTATCCTTCTCTGATAAAATTAATATGCATAGAACATTTTGGAAGCAAAACAACACGTAAGTGCAGCCAAATTAGCAGCATTCCAAGAGTACAAACAACCACATTAGAAATGGCTCTCAGCTACCATCTAGAATGTGTAAGCTGATCCTCATACCCATCAAAAAGGCTACATCGGGCTGAATGATCTTCATCCAAGTCACCAAGTTTTCCATTTAAATGTGCGAGAGCACTGAACTTGTGATTGATTGTGCTGAAGGCTTCTACAAAAATAACTACAGTTACAGTCTTCTACCTGCATCATTCAGGGATTGGTGGGAATAACCTAGTCTAAATTTGCATAATATATGCACCCCCTTTTCTCTCCCCCCCCCCCCTGATATCTTCAGTCAACTTAGCAGTTCAAAAACATGCAAATGTGAGTAGATCAATAGGTACTGCTCCGGCTGGAACGGCGCTTCATGCAGTCATGCAGGCCACATGACCTTGGAGGTGTCTACAGACAACACCGGCTCTTCGGCTTAGAAATGGAGATGAGAACCAACCCCCAGGAGTCATACATGACTGGACTTAAATGTCAGGGGAAAATTTTTACCTTTACCTTATAGGAAGGATTGCTGTACAATTACCAAAGCTCTTCTGTTGTTCAGTAAACTTGTTTATCTGAGGGTTTTGAAGCATCAGGGGAAATGAACTAAAAAAGCAAAACTAGTTTCCAAAGACCAATTGAGTGCCTGGTCAGAAAAGTGCTAAGGAACTTTGCATTGAATCATAGCGACTTATATCTGAGCACTGTTTTGAGATCTTAAGTTTTGATTCATGTGACTGTACTAGCCTGAGGAAGCTGTTACCCTCTTCCCACAAATATGTCAGTTTATGCTGATGGTTGAACAATACTGGCTCAGTTATGTATAAGCTTTGCGCACATAGTAAACTCAGCTTGTGCCATGGTGCCATAAATGTAGCATAGCTGATTATTTAAACTAGAAAATAGCCTTTGCACAGGCAGTCTAGCACAAGCAGATACAATGGTAGAACAGTTTCACCCATACAGTAGCAGGATTAGGGGCTATAATCTGTCCCTCTTCACTTTGAAAATAAAAGTTCTGGGAGAATGAAGGCGATATTGCAAAGGGATAAAGAAGCCAGATGAGTGTTTTCTTTAATATACGTACAAAATACTTCAGTGCTTTGCTCCTAAAATCATTTTAAAGTAACCCCAAAATGAAAGAGAGTCTTGCAAACTGGAAATTTATCCAAGACCATTTATTTAGCTCCTCTTTTTCCTTAGCCCCCAAAACTAACTCTATTATGGTCATCTGATTGGCTGACTTTTTAATTTTCTGTTGAATCTTGTTTTATTCTCAGCCATCACAGACACTTAAATAAAGGTATTAATTCTTCCATTTCAAGTAATATTTTCTACTTTTCTTGTCTCATATCTATTTATTTTTATATTTTCTAGAGAAAGAGTGTTACCACATCTAGACAGATAGGCAGCAGAATTAAAACTGACAGAGAAGGGGCAAAGAGTCTTAACAGATTTAGCAGGAAGGAATGTTGACTTCTGCCAGTCAAACAGAAGCCAGCAGTTGTGGATTGCTCCTCGTGACATCCCGAGAATGAGAAGTGGCTTGTGACAAATTACTTGAAGGACCTACAATAATACCTTTTGTTCTTTGAGCTGCTGTTCAAGTTTCGAGAGATCCTCTTTGGTCTTATTCATATTCTGCTGCATTGTCTTCATATCAGTTAATTTGTTGTCCAATTCTGCCTGAAGCTGTCTCAGTTCCTTCTCCATTTTGTCTTTCTTTCTAGAGTCCCGGGAAGCTTCATTCTGACGCATCTGGATTTCCTGTTGGAGCTGCATTAGCCACAAAGCAAAAAGTAACAATATTCCATCAGTCTGTTGAGACAGAGCATTGGTAGCTATATACTCACCTATATATGACCTCAATATTATTTTACATGGAGTCATTTATATGTGGCATTCACCTCTAACCAACCAATTAAGATTTTAATCAAACTTATTATTAAATAAGATCAATCCTATGATTAAAACATTTTTCTTAAAGTATAGAATAAAAGGCCACAATGCTGGCTGCAGGACCTACAAGCAAAGAGAGGGATGAAGGGGATAGAAAGGTGAAGTTAAGGTTTCAGACATGAAAGTGACAATCGCTTGACAGAGAATACAAGTCTAGACTCATTCAGGAACTGTATCTGATATGTTTTGCTTAATGAAGACAAAGAAGTGATGGGAGAAAACAGTACTATTCCAGGAATGGAGAAAAAACAATAACACTAGTTAAGCTGAAAGTGCTGAAAATCATCCTGTGAAGGGAAGAGCTGGGCAAGCCTGGCTAAATGCAGTCAATCACAGCTCAGGATATGCTGTGAAGAGGATTGTGGGTAAAAATAATCTTGTAAAAACAGAAATGTGTCTTTATAACAGACCTGACAGGGTTTGGATTTGATAGAGACAAGGGAAAATGAAAAAGAGTTGGGGTTTGCATTTGAGAAAGATAAGGAATAGATGGTATACAAACAGGATAGTCAGAGGGATTGGAGAACTGATTGTGGGTTTTAGGGAGTTGTGATTGATTGAGATTTGAAGGGCTAATGTATTGTTTCAATAAAGTTCCACTTGTTTGTTTTTCCACTATCTCTTTATTAAGTTTTATGGAGACTGGTCATGCTAACCACAGCAAGTCCACTACAACAACACAGACGCAGCTCCACCTGTAAGGGGTCACTCTGAGACTCAAATACTCAATCCAGGAAGGGACTGATTGGTGAACAAGGACTGGATAAGTGACAGGATCCCAAGGGTTTAACTCCTGTTAGCTAGACATTCTATTACTTGTCTTACAAATCTGGGGAGAGGTCATGAGTACTTTGAAAACACTTAAACAAAATGGCCACAAAGCTCCAACTACTCATGCAGAGACATGAGAGAAGCCTCCCACAAGATGGCAAAAAATCCTGGCGTCCCCTGGGTAATGTCCTTGCAAATGGCCAATTCTCTCACACCAGAAGCAACTTGCAGTTTCTCAAGTTGCTTCTGACACAAAAAAACCTTTCTAAATTACAATAAATTAGAATGAGTATCAAAAGGAATAGACATACTGCTTATCTTTTTACCAGTCAAGGGGGATCATTCTGGAGTTCTCCATTGCCTACTATCTCTGCCTTGCTAAGTATTCCCCCTCAAGAAGACTACCAGAGAGAACAATGGTGAAGCAGAAATCCCAGTTTATACACCAGCCTCATGTTGTCTTACTTTGACTATTCAAATGGGGATGCTTCTATATGCCTTTATTTCAAATAATGATCCCAACTTTAAAAGGGACCAATTTAATAACAGAGGGTGAGAAAGACATGGAGACAAAATGGTAGATATAGGAACTGCTAGGCAGAAGTGGCCACCATGCAATCATTAAACCATTGCTAGTAAAAACTGTTATCCAGTGTTGGTATACAAGCTTTTGGCTAGCAGTCTGTGGCAAATTTCCATAAAAGAAAAAAACAGCTATAGTCACTGAGCAAAATTAAGGTAACAGTTTCTGACACATTGCGAAAAAGCCCAGCTAAATCCCACATTTCAGATAGCATAATAATTGCTCCATGACCGCATATTTTCATATACTGTATAAGTATAGAATCTTTACTCAAAAATTGTCCCAAAAAACCTGGGACAAGTCAATGTAAGTACTGCACCCAAATTCTTATTTAAAAAGGAAACATCCCCTTCTCTGAGTGGTAAAAGTGAGAGTTTAGTTCACACTGGAATAATTTAAAAGAAGCAGAAACTCACTCACCCCTGTACTCTCTTTGCCACAATGCTGCTTCTGGGCAGGAAAATGGCAACAGTGGCATCCAGAGGCAGCGGGCAACCAGGGGCAGTGCCAGCACTTTCCCCTCTATGCAGAATGGCCCTCAATAGATCCAAAAGGTCATATAAAAACCCATAATTTTATCTCCCAAACCTGCCTTCGATTTACACATGAGATTACATTATATACACAAGCAAGTGCAGTACTTAGCTGCTCATGGAAAACCACTCATGTGAAAATAATTGGTAGGATTGGTAGGATGAGAGAGACGGAGAGAGAAGAAGCGTAAAAATGAAGCAGTGGGAATCTAAACAGTATGGAATCACATATATAGATAGATGGAAATGAAATGAATTAAAGTTTTAAAAAATCCAAAGCAGAATAGACAATCTGGTGCATGCAAAGTGGAGAAGGGTCCTAAAGAAGTAACCATTCATCTACACATATAGATCCACAATGTTACTTTGTGACTGTGTAAGACAGAGAAAAGAAGAACTCAATGGAAGACATTAACTGTTTTTGTTTTTTGTGTTAGATTGACTTGAGAAATTGCAAGTTGCTTATGGTGTGAGAGAATTGGACGTCTGTAAGGATGTTGTCCAGTGTACGCCCAGATGTTTTACCATCCTGTGGGAGGCTTCTCTCATGTCCCCACATGGGAAGCTGGAGCTGACAGATGGGAGCTCACCCTGCTCTCCAGATTCAAACCACCAACCTTTCGGTCAGCAGTCCTGCTGGCACAAGTGTTTAGCCCATTGCGCCACCGGAGTCTCCTATGTTTTTCTTGTTGATGCCATGTCATTAACAACCTCTCAATAAGAAGGATGTGGGGGAAAGTTTGGAAACAACAACAAGTGACAGTTTAGAGATTATCAGAAAGAGCAAGCAATAGAACAATCTAGAGGGTTTCACAGACCTGAGCAATAGTGGAGTCTGTCTCAACTTTTGTCTTTTCTGCCTCTTGCTGCTGATCTGACATATTGGCTACATTTTCACGTAACTTTACAACCTCTGCTAACAATTGGTCCCGTTCTTTTGTTACTTCCTCTTTAAACTTCAGCAATTCCCGCATGCTGAAAAAAAGGAAGAAAAGATCCCAGTCAACAGTGTTCTCAGCATGAAGCACTTTGTAGAAAACAGCAGTTAAATACAACTGGTTTGCAAGTCACTCCCTCTATTAGCCTGCAGAAACTTTCAATTAAATAATATATCTATTGAAGTTATAAAAAAAAACACCCACATTGTGGTAGAAATATATGCACTTAATAGTATAAATAACACCCTTGAATATTTTATTCTTTTATTCAGTTTCTGATTTAAATTGAGATTCCCCAAAATTATTATAATTTTAACCATTGTGCTCTAAAGTATGCTCACTGAACATATTATATACCACTATATCACTCAAAATATATCTGGTCTTGTTGGAATTTAGAATTTAGAAACAAAGTGGGACCAAGTCTAGCTAAGACGTAAATGAAAAGTTATCATAGAATATAAGAAATTTCCAGGTATTACTAGAAAAGAATTTTGCCTGAAACTCTGGAGAGCAGCCTGGGTTGACAATACTGAAGAGAAGGACCAAGGATCAGACTCAATATAAGACACTTTACTATCTGTCTACATAGTTGTCTCTTTATTACTTTCTCATGGTACCTTAAGTCAAGTCCCTTTCAATTTAGTAGACTTGCACAAGTAACCTATGGCATAGGGGTATTATACAGTATACAAATTACAGTTCAGAATCCAAGGAAGAATTCTGTATATCAGTGATTCCCAACCTTTTTTTGATCAGGGGCCACATGACCATGGACCGCTTTGACCAGGGAGCGCTCTCCAACATTAGTATCAAAAGGGTTACGAATCAGTTTTTGGTCAACTTTAGATTCAGTTTGGTTATTTGGAGTGCTGATTCAGAAAATTGCATTGGATAGACCACATCAGCTCTAGTTTCTGATGCAGAACATATGCTGTCCAGTAGTCGCCATCTGCTCACCCACAGAAAATCATATTTAATAAGCTAGAGCTGATGTAGTAATAGTAATCTTTGGTGGGTAGTAAGCTTCTCCCTCCTGACATCTCTGTTGCCTTGGCACTGTAAGAGGGTTTCGCGACAACAGTTGCTCTTGTTGCTGCGTGGTTTCGAGGTAATGGTGTAGTAATGGTGAGGCCGTGGACCATATTTTCATTCTTGCAGACCACTAGTGGTCCACAGACCACAGGCTGAGAATCACTGCTCTATATGAACAAAACTGGTATGTGAATTCTAGTATAGCTTCTTTATAAAAGGAAAAAATGTACATGGAAGAGATATTGCATTATGTTAACCTACAGTCCCTCCCTACCTACAGCCTACAAAGATGTTCATCACCTCAGATATACTGGTGAAATAGATTGCAATGTGTATCATCTACTCTAAAAGTGGCCAGACCTACCTGTTTAGACATTAACCCAAGAGAGATTTTATTGCACATGATATTTTCTAAGATCTATTTTAAAACATCTTAAATGAGGGTGAAGTAACAATTTCTCACAAACCCATCCAGTTCCCACTCACCTATGCTCTTGACCCAGTGATAACCCAGATCCTTGCTCCACTAATTTAGTCAAGCTCAAGATTTCTTCTTTAAGAGTCAAGATGGTTTCCTTTGCTTTCTGCTCTTTCTCATAAGCTGCATCTACCATTTTCCAGGCTTTTTCAATCTCCTATAAATGAGAGAAGATACATGATTTTAATCAGTTTTCCTTAGGTCTAGAATTTCATCATTCTTCTATCCCAGTAGGCATTTCTGTTTGGTTAGCAAGCAGCCCTACTCTTAAATCACCTAACTGTTGTTGTTGTGATCCTTCAAATCATCTCTGATTTAGGGTGACCCTAAAGCATTTCTGAGGAAGTTGTGTTGCTCAGAAAAGCAAAAAGAAAAATGTTCATCAGAAAAGCAAGTTCCCACATAATATTATAAAGTTTCCTTATCATATAATCTGCTTTACTCTTTAAATGATGCATTGATATTGTTCTGACTACAAGATGTTTACATTCAAAAGAGATTAGACATGAAAAAACAGGTATTTCCTCCCTTCAATTATTAGAAAATCTGCCCAAATTAACGATATTTTTGATGCTTCAATTCTTGTTGCTGTATGCCTTCAAGTCATTTCCAACTTGGTGAAGCTTTCACAGGGTTTTATTGGTAAGATTTGTTCAGAGAAAGTTTGCTTTCAGCTTTCTCTGAGGCTGAGAGTGCGTTTCCATGATATAGAAATTCAAAGTCTGGTCTCCAGAGTCATAATCCAAAATGCAAAATCACTAGACCACACTGGTCCTCTTTTATTCTTTCTTGTCTATTCTTAGAGAGCCCTTATAAGGATAATAAGCCAACAGCCTTTTAAGAGCTCCAAATAAGGATTTCCTGAGAAGGGAGAAGCCCTTCAGAAGGGATGGAGCCAGAGGAGAGCATAGCAAAGGTTTGCCTCATGTAGTGGCTGAAAGAAGGGCAATTATGCTCTCACTAAGTGGGTGAGCAGAATCACCATCACTCCAGATGAGTCTGACAATCTTGTGATCTTGACATTATCATCCCCTTTGAGAGAACCATAATTACACGGCTCTCCACGTTGACAGGTGAAAGTTGTTAATTGAGGGGTCGGCAATTTCGGGCAAATGCATACCTTTCTGCTGAACTACCTGGTCACTAACGTAATACAGAGATATATTATCATGGCATGCTGGCTGAATCAACTTTATAACACATAACCACTAATATCCTGCTAGCCAGTCTGCTAGCCAGCCTTGAACTACAGGTGGTGGGGAGCCCTGGCTTTGCATGCAAATGTATCCAGACTAATAATAGTGGTAGCAATATTCATATTTCACTATAAAGAGTGAGATTCAGAATTTGATTTTAAGTAACATTTATCACTTGTATTAAGGATCAGCATTGCTCAGAAAAATAGATAATTAATAAGCTATTTCAAAGAAATCGGAAATAACGGAATATCCTTGAACACTATAGTTCTAAAGCAAGCTATACCAACATGTTCCATAAAGCAGTTCCAAAGAATCCCCTTTCTTTTTAAATTTGGCAACCTAATGAAATGCTGTTGAAATACATTGACAAAGATTATTGTGAGTCTTTTCATCTGCCTAATCAAAGGGTCAAATCAGTTAGCCTCAAAATTACAATACTGCTTGGATGTTTATTCTCAAAGACATCCTAATGGCACCACTGGAATACTTTGTACACAATGATTGCTTAGCTCAGCTCCAAAGAGCTCCCTTTCTCATTGACACAGTTAATGGAATCTGTACATTCAGATGAAGGACAACATATTAATACCCAAATGGCATTCTGTTTTTGTCACTGACTTTGGCTAGAGCGTGACAATGCACAATGTTATTAAAGTGTCCTGTTGTTTGTTCCATTTCAGATTTTTTTTAAAAAAAAAAACCATTAGGCTGCTTTTCTTTGAAACATAAAAGGGCAAAGGATTATTAGCACCATACATGTTATTTAAAACCAATCCACATGTGATTAATTAGAGGTACTAAACAAAGATGGCAAAACATTTTCGATAATTACAAAAGCTCTGAACACTTAAACTTGTGATATGTCCTTGATTAAATATCTAGTTAGCCTATACTTTTGCTAACTTCATAGCCACTTTAACATGATAAAACTGCCATACTGTGAATACTACCTGAGTAGCTCTGTGTAGTTAGACATACAGTGGCTATGCAACTATTTACCATATACCTAAGTTCCAACTCCAGCCATATTTCCTATGCAATATTTCAACTCACTGTCAGGACATTTGCTGTAAATAAACCACACTATACATATGCCCAAATTCTATAGTTTGATACAAGAACATAGTAAAGTAACTACACCACTACTTTACCAAATACTGCTACAGTGCAATTGACCCACATTTTGAAAATTCTCATTTGGTTATTATTATTATTATTATTATTATTATTATTAACTTTATTTGTACCCCGCTAGCATCTCCCGAAGGACTCGATGCGGCTTACAAAGGCCAAGGCCTCAAAACACAACATAACAATACAACACCTAAAGCAAATTAAAAACAGTTAAAGCAATATTAAACAACAAGCAATAAACAATACATCAAGACACTATAAAACTGGGCCAGGCCAGAGTAATGGGTACAAGGTCAAAAGTGCTGATGTGACAGGTGATATGTAAGGATGATAGGGTAAGTGCAGTGTGCAGTGTGCAGCAATCTTAGTTCTAATAAAGTGCTTCTGGGACTTGTTATTGGAGATTCCTATTCTGGAAAGGCACATCGGAGCAGCCAGGTCTTCACGTTCTTTCTAAAGACTGCCAATGTAGGGGCCTGTCTAAGATCTTTGGGGAGGGTGTTCCAGAGTCGGGGGGCCACCACAGAAAAAACTGACCTCATTTAAAATATTTTTTAGAAAAAAAATATGGAATAAGTTAAAATATTTCAACAGTAATTCTGCTATGTCTTTCGTGAGTTCATTTATTATGTGGTGATTCAGTTCCATAATATGCCTCACTTACAGACCCATAAGAACAATTACCAAACAGTTAAGGAATTTCAAAACATCATTTCTGTGAAGCAAAAATAATAAGACAACATATGTGAGATCTAAAGCCTCTATAAGCAGATACCCATATATAACATGAGATTACCTCTCTAACCCAAGTTATGTGGCAGATGAACAATGCCCAACTATTATTACTAGTATTACTATTATTTATTCATTTATTTATTTATATGTCACTTTGTTCTCTCTTAAAAGAGACTCAAAGCAGCTAAAAGTAAACTAGATATATAGAAGGGCCCTACGCTATGCCGCACAACCATCTGAGCTGTGGTCAAATGCTACACAGGACATGGACTTCTCCAGTATGATAGGTAAGATTTGAAGTTCCAGCAGATTAAATCTAATACTGGTTGTATTAGATTCAGTTATCACCTCATTTTTATTTTGTTCAATCTTCCCAATAATCTCCTCCTGTTTTCTGTTGATTATAACTTCTGTTTGCTGGCTTTAGTGGAAGATGGGAACTTAATGTTTACTACATTATCATTAGCTATTTGTTTGTTTCATTTAGACAATGGGATTCAAACACCACCATGGTTCACAATGCCTCTTATTACATGAGCATCATCATGGTGATGATAATGACAAAAATAATTATCTGAAACATTCAGAGCTCATCTTCTAGCTTTGTCACAAAATTTCAAGGGCATTTCACTGTCCAAGTAAAACAATCAGTGATATCTAGGTAATCCTAAATGGGAGCAGGAAAAAGGGGAGGACTAGCCACCCCTTCCAAAGCCAACTCATGCTAGCCTGACAACAGGTTTAAGGTTGAGAGCAGGTTCACCCTATCTTGGTACTTTAATTTTCCATTATTCTTTCCCCGACCTATATTCATTCCATTTGGTGTTGATACCAGCCTCTGAACAACTAGGATATTTATGCCCAAAGAGCTTTTTTAAGGCATAACCAAATATCTGGTATGTATGGCACCCAATGGCATTACACTATTAACTAATATATTTTACTGCTATAAAGGGAAAGAGGCATTTGTTGAATTCCTTGTCTCAAATATAAAAATAACTGGACTAGACATAAAAGTTGGGCTTCTTGTCTAGCGAGGCTGTCACCATCAGCCTCAAACAGCAACATATTAGGCCTCAAGCAATGATATATCAGTAAAAGAACAACACTGTGCCATTATGGAAGATGTGAGGTTCTACAAGCTTGCACTGGAGCCAGTGAAGTTATTCCCGAAGAATTGAAATGCAGATGTAATGATGGAAACAGATGTAATATGAATTACAAGTTCCACATCACAATGAGAATGTTCACTACCAGAGATTCAGATGCATTTTCCAATACGACCCATCTAGTATGGAGGTGCTATTTCCTTCTTACATATGGGGCTGCATATTTGGCATAAAGATAATCCTAACTTCTAATATCAGTGAAGGTATTAGATAGATCCCCTACATTTATTATATTCTCAGTTATACATTTTCTTTTCAAGAGACATGTTTTCCTCCATTTACCCTTTTCAGTGATGCGATGGTTGTCTGATCATCCTGGGAAAGCTTCAGAGCAGTGGCCACTTTAGCTGAATTCACCACAATTTCTGCATTCAATTCCCTGCATTTTGCCATAAGACGCTTTTCATTCTCATAGGACTTTTTCAGTACTGCATGAAGCTTCTCATATTCTATACGGAATTTTTCCAAGCTTTGATCTCCTGTAAGCTCATTGATGACTTCTTGGAAGTCTTTTTCCAAGGCTTCAAAGACATTTTCTTCTATTGCAGGCTTGTCATACCTTTCCTGGATAAAAGGAAAGGGATAATTTATCAGACAGTCACCAACAGCATCTTGACAAAGGTAATGACTTATACCAAGATATCGGCACAATAGCTCCCAGGTAACCATCTTTGATTAAAACTTCTATGATGGTACAACTCTGCCCCTACCATATGACACTTAAATCCCATTTTACATGAAAAGCACTGTCCTTTTAGACTAACAGATTGTCTTGAATATAACATCAGTCATAAAGCCTTATGAATAAGACAAATATCCAATTGCTAAACAGAATCACAATTTTTATATCACCAGTCCCAATGTGTATATCACAACCAACAAGCTTTTATTAACCAGAATGTGTATTTTTGAAGGCACCTTTCTAAAGTTAATTATTCTTCCTCACAAGAATGATTACTTTGAAATAAAGGCAAAAGCATTACTATCACCCTAGACTTCAAAACTACCAGCACCTTGAAATTTGTAGTCCTTAGAGTACAGTTGTAAACAATATTCAAAAAATTTAAAGTTTGAAAATTGTGTTTTAGAGTGTTGAGAGACCCTGAAATAAATGAGATTGAACTGCTGAGATGCGGGGGTTTGTGTATAAAAATAGCATTTCCTGTATAGACAATAATATTTCAATGCAGAGATATTAATTCTTGCACAGAAAATGCTGTTTTCTGTCCAGAAAGGGAGATTTGTTCTGTGTAAAATTCCAAAATGGTTAATTTGCATATAAAATAGCATTTCCTGCAAATAATATATTTGCTTGCAGGCTTAAATTCTTAAGGTTTTTTTTTCCCTCAAGGAGCTCATTTATAGGAGTATTTTCTATAAATAATTCCATGGTAGAAAACTCTAGTTAAACAAATGGGACATAGTTTTAAAGGCTAACAAATAAGGTTGGACAGTCTTTAACATCTTGGCATGACCATTTCAACAGATGTTTAGGGAAAACATCTCTGGGCTTCTTCTGGAAGTCTAGTAATATTTTCATAAAAACCTAAAAAATTGTAAATTTCCTCAATTGACAGTGCAGAAAAAAAAAACCTTAAAATCAACCATATGATTATATGGTGTACAAAAGACTCAGAGGCAAGTACTGGTAATTCCATATAACCAGAAATATCTCATTAACTATGCATCTTCAGACTTCTTATGGAATATATTCAGGTAAGTATATGTATGAGCAAATATTTTTCACTTATTAATATTGGCAAGGATAAATTGGGATCTTAAATAGACATCTGCAAAACATTCAATCACTCTTAATTATCATAATGCACAAACCTATATCTGACATCTCTACCACATGTGTACTTGTGTAAGCTATTATTATTTAATTATAAAATATAATTGTTCTATGAACCAGTTTGGAGTAGGTACATGATCTTCTGAAAGGGTATGTGACTAGAATATAGGGGAAACATATCCAGAGGACACTGTGTACATACTCTAAAAACCAGTCTAATAGTGGATACCTTTCCAATGTGCAAACTTCTTCTGCAATATTTTCAAAAAATTCTTAAACTGTAACATAATAGCAATCTATTTTAAGTATAATTATTTTTATCATCCGAAACAATTACTTATTTTTTAAAAAATGTTTGGCAGAACTAAAGGATTAAATGGCTTTTAATAAGCCATACTGATCACTAATCATCAGCTCAATTTCCTCCAAGTTGTTAACAAACATGGTTTCCTCATTTAACAAATACATTTCTAGGTAAAGAAAATGTATGCTACCATTGAATGAGAACCTGTATGATCACCTCTGAGTTTATGACCCACAATATAGTTTATATCTCACTATAAAATTACTGCTATTCATAATGCTTATTTTTATAACGGTGTTCTCAACTCATGATAAATTGCTACAGAAAAATATGAGTAAAGTTACAGTGATGTAAATATGTTTTGTGGACTAAGCATAGTAGCAAGGCTGATTCTGTTTATTCAGCCAATGTAGCTTACTTTATTGTCCCCAGGTTTGCCCAGTGTATCTAGAAACACAGAGAACATGCCAATTAAAGGACAAAACCATAAGAAAGCTATATGAAATAATAAGAAACCTGTTTGCAACAACATGAAAAGAACAGATATATTAGAAGATACAAGAATAGGGGCTCCCCTAAAGATTCCCCTTCAGGAAAACTAGGAACCCACCTGCCTGAAAAGGAAACTACAAAAATTAAGAGACAGAGATAGAGTGAAATAATGAAAACATTAATAGACTCTGAAATTTATCAGAGTAACACTGTTAGTTATTCAATGTATTATTAGTGTATTTTAATGAAGGGTGGGCTCTTGCAAAATCCTTTATAAAATACTTTTTTTCAAGAAACAAAATAAACACACTAGCAAAATTTTAGTTATTTTAAAAAGCTACAGATTTGCCATATATTACCACTTATTAATCTACTATTTTCAAAAGAGACTGTAATGGCATTTCTTCTTTTAACAATACTCTACTAATTCCACATTTGATCAATGCCTTCATCGTTGTTTTGAAGAGTGATGAACAGTGATATTATTCAAAGACTTCTTCTCAATCAGCACAAAGCTCTTGTGGAATAGCCTGACTCAGATGCTATATAAAAACATGTATTACACATCTTGGAGTCTGATGGGTGCTGAAAACCATTTGAAATTATAATATGGGGTATGGGACTGAGCAGAAGAATGAAAGGAGCCAGGCTAAACCACTGTGCTGCAGAAAAATCCTGCTGATCAAAAGGCTAGCAGTTCAATGTGAACAAATACGTATCACTTTTAGTAGGGAGGTAAGGATATCAATTGGAGGAAAGCTTCTTGGCATGGAAGATGGAGCAACAGTGCCCYCCCCCCCCCCCCATGGCCGGAGTCAAGCACAGCCTCCAAGATGCTGGAAATTAGATGGGAACAACTGCCTTTACCTCTATTTGTGTTTGTTGTCCTTGTTAAGTGTATAATCAGCACTGAATATTTGCCGTATGTATGTGCTCTGTAAGCTGCTCTGAGTTCCCTTTGGGGCGAGAATGACGGGGTATAAATATTGTAAATAATAAATAAATTGGAGACGTAAGAAACACCTTTAAGTTCTTATGTCTCCAATTGCTGCTCTCCCTTGCCTTCTGCTCTGTCTTTTTGTTTCTCCCCTTGAGAACTTAAGAGAATCAGAAACAGTGAGAATATAAGGAAGGGACAAAGAGAGAAAGTGAGTAGGTTTCGTTGGATTAGCTTAGATTCATCAGTTCAAAGGATGTTGTCCTAGCATTAGGGCTGGATGAGGGGGTGCTTTTTCCCTTTCTGATCCGGCACCCCATATTGTTTTGTATGGCTGAGCACAATTCAGTCATGATCTGGACTCTTTGGAATCAGTTTTCAAGCCTTTCACAAAAACAGGCGTGAGCACTTCTAACATTTTCTTTAACCCTTAAAAAAATGGCAGGGGGAAGGAAGAGAAAAAAGAAAACTAGAATGAATGAAGGCATTAGGAGAGAGGAAGGAAAGAAATAAAGAAAACGAGGGAAGCAGAAAAGTAACTTCATTTAAAATAGCTGAAGACCTTGCATCCAAGCTAATCCTGCTACAATTAAATAAACCAAAATAAACAGGCACTTGTTAGTTTCCTGGGTTTTTATCATTCCCAAGACCTTTGGCAACAATTGCAGTTATGAATCCTTCTAAACTATCAACTTAGCACATTTGCATCCTGTATTTTCATATTGTTTTGAGAAAAGCTGCTTCTGTGCTGTCAAGTTGCATGGGAGCCGCGAGGATACAACTGTTTTCAATCTTTGCCTCATGTTCTCAATTTGATTAATGTCTGCACATAAAGTAAAAGATTCTAAGACAGTTATAATTTCAAAATATAATCCTTGATTTGGTCATTTTGACATGGGGGCACCACTTTATTACACCATTGTATATCATGGGATTTGAGCATCCACTGATATTGGTATCCCAATGGGATTCTGAAACCAAACTCCAGCCCAACATGGCAATTCAAGTCCCAAAAGGAGAAAGTGAAAGTTAAACCCCAATATTAATTTGCTACGGTAAAGGTTTTCTCTTTACATTAAGTCTAGTTGAATCTGACTCTGGGGGGTGGTGCTCATCTCCATTTCTATGCCGGAGAGCCGGCATTCATATGAACGGCATGACTACATGGAGCACCGTTACCTTCCCACCAATGCTGTACCTATTGATCTACTTATATTTGAATATTTTCTAAGGGCTAATGTTTGACAAAATGTTTTCAAACCGCTTGTTTGTTGTTCATTCGTTCAGTCACTTCCAACTCTTTGTGACCTCATGGACCAGCCCACACCAGAGCTCCCTATCAGCTGTCACCACCCCCAGCTCCTTCAGAGTCAAACCAGAGTCAAGGATACCATCTATCCATCTTGCCCTTGATCGACCCCTTTTCCGTTTTCCTTCCATTTTCCCTAACATCTTTCCTGACTTCTCATTATGTAGTCAAAGTACTTCATCTTTGCCTCTAATATCCTTCCCTCCAATGAGCAGTCGGGCTTTATTTCCTGGAGCATGGAATGGTTGGATCTTCTTGTGGTCCAAGGCACTCTCAGAATTTTCCTCCAACATCACAGTTCAAAAGCGCCTATCTTCCTTCGCTCAGCCTTCCTTATGGTCCAACTCTCGCATCCATAGATTACTGTGGGGAATACCATTGCTTTAACTATGCGGACCTTCATTGCCAGTGTGATGTCTCTACTCTTCACTATTTTATCGAGATTGGTCATTGCTCTCCTCCCAAGAAGTAAACATCTTCTGATTTGAATCTTTGCACCTAGAAATGCGAAGTCTGTCATGGTCTCCATGTCTTCTCCCTTTATTTGCCAGTTATCGATCAGTCTGGTTGCCATAATCTTGGGTTTTTTATGTTTAACTGCAACCCACCTTTTGCACTTTTGAACTGTTACATTTGACAAAATGAAAGTGTTCAGACTGTCTTTAATTCCAAGGAGGCAGTTACCAGTATTGCAAAAAGAGAAATGGGAAATACCTTGCCTAGTGCTCTTCTTTTCTTTTTGGGAAGACCCTAGGCCGAACAAACTTTGAAGCTGCAAGGCTATTCAATGCTAATCAAGGAGGCCAATTGCAACATCCACACTTGTCTCAAATAGACAAGAGTTCTTTTTCCCACACTGAACATTCCACAGATTTATAATCCGCACTTACCTAGTTTCCAACAGACCTCACAACCTCTGAGGATGCCTGCCATAGATGTGGGTGAAATGTCAGGAGAGAATGCTTCTGGAACATGGCCATACAGTCCAGAAAACTCACAGCAACTCAGTAATTCCGACCATGAAAGCCTTCAACAACACAATGTGTAGCTTGTTCTTCCTAAATCATTGCTCACATTTCTTCAACATCAATTGGAAGTAATGCACAGTGGAATTAGTGTGGAAGCAATGCTACAGGATGCTGGGATTTGTAGTTTTGCGAGGCACCAACACTGTGGCAGAGGAGGCTAAAGACATTGGGGAAATCACATGATTTCCAGGGAAACTTCCAAGTGGTATCAAACTCCATCCATTCTCCAGTGTAGATGGGCCCACAAAGGCATGTAGAGTCACCATAGCAACTACATTAGAACTGGCGGGGGGGGGGTATATTGTATTGGAAGACAAGAGATGAGTCTGTATTGGACAATAGAGGTGAGAATGGAAAGCACTGTGATGGGAGAACTGCTGGGACACAAAGGAATGGAGGAGAGGACCTGGCTCAGGTTGAGGGGGGAGGGGCAGGTGGAGAGGGAGAGGCGGGAAAGGGGGCTCACCTCAGCCATTTTTGAGGCGGGGGCGGGGGGCGGGGCGCAAGGCCCCCCCTCCCCGAAAGGCTTTTCCTCCTCGCTCGGCCTCGGCTGCTGCTGCTGCTGCTGCGGCTACTGCTGTGTACGCGTCTCCTAGCAACCGCCGCCCGGCCCGCCCTTCCTTAGTGCGGCCTGTAGGTGGCGCCGGAGCCTCGCCTCGCGTAGAAAACAACCACCAGCGCAGAGCCAAGCCAGGGAAGGAAGGCTTCCAAACTGTCCTGTGGGGGTCCTTGGGCCTCTCTTTAAGCCTTCCTCACATGAAGCCTGGTTCCCTTTGGGGTATAGAGTCAATGTGGTGCCCAACTGCATTATTTCTACAGTGTAGACTGGGCATGGGCAAACTTCGGCCCTCCAGGAGCAAACTTTGGCCCTCCTTTTCTGAAGTTGAGAGAGTGAGATTTAACGCTGGTGTCAACTTTTTTTTTGTCGTGTCAGGAGCGACTTGAGAAACTGCAAGTCGCTTCTGTTGTAAGACTATTGGCCGTCTGCAAGGACGTTGCCCAGGGGACCCTGTGATTTGATGTTTTTAGCATCCTTGTGGGAACCTACTGTGGAACAGTGGGTTAAAGCCCTGTGCCGGCAGGACTGAAGACCGACAGGTCGCAGGTTCGAATCCGGGGAGAGGCGGATGAGCTCCCTCTATCAGCTCCAGCTCCTCATGCGGGGACATGAGAGAAGCCTCCCACAAGGATGATAAAAACATCAAATCATCCAGGCGTCCCCTGGGCAACGTCCTTGCAGACGGCCAATTCTCTCACAACGGGAGCGACTCCTGACACGATTAAAAAAAAAATCCTTGTGAGAGGCTTCTCTCATGTCCCCGCATGAGGAGCTGGAGCTAATAGAGGGAGCTCATCCGCCTCTCCCCAGATTTGAACCTGCGACCTGTCGATCTTCAGTCCTGCCAGCACAGGGGTTTAACCCACTGCGCCACCAGGGGCTCATGGGCAAACTGGAGGGCCGGAGATAACCCAGTTCAAAGCAGATATTGTGGGATTTACTGCCTTAATATCCTGGGATAAAGGGCTGTGTGAAAGGGCCCTTGCACTCTTTGGCAGAGAAGGCTCAAGACCCTGTAAACTACAACGCCAAGGATACCAATGAGCAATGGTAACTAATGTGGTGTCCAACTGCATTATTTCTATAGTGCAGACCGGACATGGGCAAACTGGAGGGCCGAAGTTTGCTCCTGGAGAGCCAAAGTTTGCCCATTCCCAGTCTACACTGTAGAAACAATGCAGTTGGACTCCACATTAACTACCCTTGCTCATTGGTATCCTTGGAGTTGCAGTTTTCAAGGTCTTGAGCCTTCTCTGCCAAAGAGTGCAAGGGCCATTTCACACAGCCCTTTATCCCAGGATATGAAAGCAGAAAATCCTACAATATCTGCTTTGAACTAGGTTATCTGAGTCCACACTCAGATAATGTGGGATTTTCTACTGTGATATTCTGGGATGTAGGGCTGTGTGGAAGGACTCTCAGATAACCCAGTTCAAAGCAGATATTATGGGATTTTCTGCCTTGTTATTCTGGGATAAAGGGCTGTGTGGAAAGGGGCCTCAGATGATCCAGTTCAAAGCAGACAATGTGGACTAACTGCTTTAATCTGGATTACATGGCAGTGTAGAAGGGACCTGAGGGGCCTTCCACACAGCCATATAACCCAAAATATCAAGGCAGAACATCCCACAATCATCAAAGTGAAATCCACATCATTCTGCAGCCTTGAGCCATGGTAAAGTGGAGTCAGACTGCATTAATTCCACAATGTGGATGCCTTCTTAGGCCCCTTCCACATAGCTGAACAAAATCCCACATTTTCTGCTTTGAACCATATAGCATTATATTAACATAGGATCCTTCCACACAGCCCCATATCCCAAAATATCAAGGCAGAAAATCCCACAATATCTGCTTTGAACTGGATTATCTGAGTCCACACTCAGATAATGTGGGATTTTCTGCCTTGATATTCTGGGATATAGGGCTGTGTGGAAGGGCCTCCAGTTCAAAGCAGATATGGTGGGTTATCTGCCTTTATATTCTGGGTTATAATCCAGTTCAAAGCAGATATTGTGAAATTTTCTGCCTTGATATTCTGGGTTATATGGCTGTAAGAAAGGGCCCTTAGGCCTCTCCTACAGGTCCTTCCTGACAGGCCCTTTAGCCTAGGATCTGATCCCAGGTTTTATGTTTATCCCAGTTTATGTGGCAGTGCAGACTCAGGGCCCTTCCACACAGCCCTATATCCCAGAATATCAAGGCAGAAAATCCCACAATATCTGCTTTGAGCTGGGTTATGAGTCCACACTCTGATAATATGGGATTTTCTGCCTTGATATTCTGGGATATAGTGCTGTGTGGAAGGGCCTTCATATAATCCATCTTAGAAACCTGGGATCAGATCCTGGGATATAGAGCCTGTCTGGAAGGCCCCTACACAGCCATATAAAATCCACAATATCTGTTTTGAACTGTTATCGGAGTCCATACTGCCATATATCCCAGTTCAAAGGCAATAATATGGGATTTTATTCAGCTGTGTGGAAGGGGCCTGAGTCTCCACTGCCATGTAATCCAGTTCAATGTGGATTTTCTATAGCTGTGTGGAAGGGGCCTCAGATAATCCAGTTCAAAGCAGATAATGTGGACTAACTGCTTTAATAATCTGGATTACATGACAGTGTAGATGGGGCCTGAGGGGACTTCCACACAGTCATATAACCCAAAATATCAAGGCAGAATATCCCATGATATCTGCTTTGAAGTGGGTTATCTGACTCCACACTGCCATATAATCTAGTTCAATGTAGGTTTTATACAGCTGTGTGGAAGGGGCCTCAGATAATCCAGTTCAAAGCAGATAATATGGACTATCTGCTTTTGATAATCTGGATTATATGTCAGTGTAGAAGGGGTGTGAGGGCCCTTCCACACAGCCATATAACCCAGGGTATCAAGGCAGGTAATCCACAATATCTGCTTCAAACTGTGTTATCTGAATCCCCATTGCCATATAATCCAGTTGAATGTGCATTTTATACAGCTGTGTGGAAGAAGCCTAAATTTGGCTCACGCTTGTCCTTGTAAGTATGATCCATTTTAGACACTTCTGTCAGAGTCTGTGCTTCTATAGCTCTCACTAGTCTAAAGCATTGAGCGAAGACAGTTAAAGTGGTGCCAAACTTCATTGGCTCTACAGTGTAGATACACCGTGAAATTTGTCAAGGTCACCCAGGGACTTTCCATGACCAATTAGGAATTCAAATCCTAATGTCTGAGGCCACTTCCATTTCCCCTTTATCCCAGGATCTGATCCCAGATCTGATCCCAGATCATCTTATCCCAGATTATATGGCAGTGTAGACTCATATAATCCAGTTTAAAGCAAATAATCTGGGATCAAATCCTGGGATACTGGGCAATGTAGAAGGGGCCTGGAAAAAGAAAGGAGAGCAAACATAAGTTTCCTTTTTCTTCCCTAAATTGGATAGAGGATGTACTGGAATGGTGGTAAGGCAGAATGAGAAAAGGAAGCAGCAAAATAAGCAAATAAAAAGAACTGGAGCTAGTTAGAAATACAAGTTGAGTATCTCTTATTCCAAAATCCAAAATTGTCCACATGAGTAACTGAAACAGTGATATCTTTGCTTTTTTGATGGTTTGGAGTACACAAACTTTGTTTCATGTACAAATTTGTAAGAAAAAATGTGTTTAAAATCACTTTCAGGCTATATCCATAAGGTCAGGCCCATAGCCAGGGGGGACTTGAGGGGCTTTACCCCCCCCCCCACCGAAATTCTCAGGGTGGTCGGCAAGAAGGCCTTACTGCTACATTATTTAAACTGTTATGTTTATTCATATCATTATCTGATAACCATGCTCAATATATCCCATATGCATGGGGGGTATTGGGATAATGATACAAAAGGTTTGCTAGGGTAGATCCTAAGCCCCCCCCCCCAATCAAACTCAGCCCCCCCCCCCCATTCAAAATCCTGGCTACAGGCCTGCATAAGGTATAAATGAGACATAAATTAAATGTAGAGATCGCCATGGATCCCATTTCCAAGATAGGCAAATACTCCAAAATCTGAAACCCAAAGCACTTTTCTCCCCAAGCATTTCAGATTAGGCATTTTCAATCTGTATTTTACAGTTTAATTTCTAGCAGAATAAAAGTCTCATGTGACTTGATTTTCTCGCTGCCACAGACTACTACTCTTCTGGAAATCACTTATTTGTTTCAAATATCTTTATCTTACTGTTCAGGGCAAAACCCCCACCCTGAGCAGTTTGCGTACATAAATAATGAAATGAAACATTGTTGAAGTAGCCATTTACGATAAAAACAGAAAGCAATTTAAAAGCATTACAAGATATCAAAACAATGTAAACAATTAAAAGGAGGGAATTAAAACCAGCAGCAATACAAAACCATTATAATCAAATTCAGACCAAACTCTCAATTACAAGCTAATTAAAACAAATGGCTTTTTGTGGTCTGAAAGGAGAGTAGCTTTGACTGCTGCCAGAAAGTCCATAATGTTTGTGCCTGGTTCACAAACCCTGCTGAGAACCTTCCACAAAGAAACCGTGGCAGTCAAAGTGGTGTCAAACGGCATTAACTACAGTGTAGATCAGGCATGAGCAAACTTCCCCCCCCCCCCCCCCCCCCCGGCAAACTCCCACAATTCCTAAAACCCTATTGGCTGTTCGGATTTTGTGAGTTGCAGTCCCAAACGTCTAGAGGGATGAAGCTTGTCCATGTCTGGTGTAGATGCACACTAAGGTCCCTTCCACACAGCTGTATAAAATCCACATTGAAATGGATTATATGGTAGTATGGACTCAAATAACCCATTTCAAAGCAGATAATGTGGATTATTTGCCTTGATATTCTGGGTTATATTGTGGTGTGGAAGGGCCCTAAGAGAGGCTGGAACAATTTGTTTTTGACTGGAACTAAGGGGAAA